GGCCGCGTGAACGTGAGCGTGAGCAGCCCCACCTGCAGCGTGTAGTCTGCGCTGGGCCAGTCCTGCCGCCCGAGCGGGGAGGGGGGAGGCAGGGAACCACCCAGAGCTGTGTTTCCCGAGTGTGGTCCGCGCACCCCCAGGGGTGCGGGAAGAGTTGGGTGGGGGTACGCGTGGCACCGGAGTTTGGTGGGGATACGCACTGCCCCGTGCTTAGCTGCGCCTAATTCTGCGTTCTCATGAGTACGAGGGGTACTCAGCGTTACGAAAATTATAGAAGGGGTGCCCATATGTCAGAAGTTTGGGAAACACTGACCTAGAGGATCCCGCCCATGCCTGCAGGGTCCACCCAGCGGGGTCTCCCCCCCTCCCCATGGCCACGTCCCAGGCTGACCCTGATGGGGGGGGGGGGGGGGGCAAACGCCACCCCTGGCGCTCCTGAGCGTGGGAGCCGCACCGCACCCGCTAGACGCCCAAAGAACCCCAGCCCAGCGGCCTCCTCTGCAGTGTCGCTCAGCAGCCAGCCAACGCGGAGCGTGAGCTCAATGGTGTGTCTCCCGAGAGGCTCAGGGCGGGGCAGCGAGAGGCTGGGGCCGCAGGCGGGCCCCCCGTGGGTGTGGCCACCCGTGAAGATGCCCCTGCAGCCACGACCACAGCACCCCCACCTAAGTGCCCGGTGAGAGGGCACCAGAGCCAGCTTACCGAGGGGCCTCCAGGGCCAGGGGGGCCGGGGACACCGGGTGGTCCGGGGGGGCCCTGTGGAGAGGGGGTGAGGACGGAGGGGTTAGGGGGGCAGGCAGCAGCCCTGCCCTGAGAGAGGAGATGGGTCACACGGTGACGGTGGGCTTCAGCCTTCCCTGCCAGGTCTTGTGTTTGAAGCAACACAGAAAAGCCAAAAAGAAAATCTCGGAAGTAAAGTGTGTAACATGCTAACATGTCCTCCTGGGGTAGCGGGAACACACCTGTACGTGGTGTATTCTGCCATATCGCTGAGCTGCTGGGCATTTAAAATCCATACACATGCTCGGCCTGTGTGAGCACACTCACGCACACGTGGGTCCCAGACACGACCGGCATGGAGTCAGCCAGGGAGTGCGGGGCCCGATGGATCGCAGCCCCACGCGTCCTGGGGGACGACCTCCGGCCTCAGGCGGCTCAGCATCCTCTCCAGGTGCTCCCGCTTCTCCAGTCCCCCCTTCTCCAGTGTCTCCACCCCGAAATCCTTTCCGTTCCCCTCCGCCAAGCTCAAGGCCAGCGAACTGGGTGCCTCTGACCACGTGCCCTCGGGGGCAGGGGCCCTCCTGTTCCCTGAGCACCCATCTCACAGGGACAGGCCCAGGGCGCGGCAGGGAGAGGCTCGGTCAGGGTGAGAAGGAGGCCCCCGAGCTCACAGAGAGCTAAAGGGGAGCCGTGTCATGTCCCCACTAGAGGGCACTGGGCACTTACAAACGGCCATGGCCGCTGCCTCCCTCCACTGCCTCCCTGAGGTCCCCAGGTCTCCCTCTGGGGGCACACTGAGTCAGCCGAGGCCTGGAGAGGGGCCTGAACTTCCGGGGGAGGAAAGGGCTCGGGAGGTGGGGGGACCTGTCTCCTCTGAGCTCACTCTGGGGAGCGTCTACTTTTCTCCGAAGACGCTTGCTTTGAGCTGCAGCAACAAAGGAGCCAGACGGCGCTGGGCAGAAGGTGGCGGGCAGGTGTGAATACAGGGTCCCCCCTTGGATGGGGGGGAGGGGGCAGAGGACATCAAGAAAGGTTCCCAGCCTCACCCCTATTGTCACTCAGCCGTGCGCACACCCATCCTGCAGCAAACAGGACCCTCCTTTCACCACCTTCCAGAAGGCATGATGCAGGCTGCCTGTAAGGCCGTCCCCTCCCGTAAGCCCCCCTCCCCTAAGGCCGCCCCGCCTCCGGCAGAGGGGAGCCCACGGCCTGTTTCTGACCGGCTCCTGGCGGCACCAGGCAGGAGCGGAGCCCGGGCACCTGTCTCTTCTCCTCACTGACCCGCAGCCCGGCCCCGGCAGGTGTCCCCGGTGCCGGTCCGCAGGGAGCCCAGCGGGCGGGAGGCCTTCGCCCTGCACAGGACTGCTGACCGCGGGCAGATGCCCGGTCTGCCACTTGAGCGTTGGACGTAAAGATGATGAATTAGGTGGTTTGAACCAAGACTATTGGACCATTAACACCGTTATTCGTGCTAGCCCTGATCGCATAGAGATGAGAGAATCTGGCTGAAGGGAGTCCAATGCTAGGTCACCCCATGCGACCAGAACGGACTTGGGCAAGGTCATCACTGCCCAGCGCCCCGGTCTCCCCTCCGCCCCCCCCCCACACACACACACCGCGCACACAGCAGGTGGAGGTCCCTTCGCCGTCACTGAGGTGGGATTCACGGAGGCCGCGGCCTCGCCCAGAACCCGGGCGGCTTCGCCAGTGTGGCTGCCCTCGCCCTGTCATCGATCAGCCTGTCTAAGCCCACCTAACCTCAGTATCGGCGAGGGAGACAGATTAGCCAATAGACCCGAATGCTAACAGCGAAGTAATGGCTCTTTTAATTATCACTGATGAACTCCGCTAGCGGTGCTCCCTGCTCGTCAGCCGCAGCCGGATCGCCGGGCAGCGGTGTCCGATCTTCCTGCGGCGACAGCGCCCACAGCCGGCGGACGCGATTAGCACGGAGAGTGATGATGCGTGATCGGCCGATTGACCGAATTGCCGTCGATAAGCCGATGGCAAGCAGCGACTCCTGTGAGCCAGCTGCTTCTGGCTGGAGCCGGTAAGGAGCTGGGGGGAATGGAGACGCAGGGACGAGGTGCGTAAATCCGCGGCGTGGAAACGTCTGCCGGCTGGGGGAGCTGGTCACGCTCGGCCAGGCCTCCCCTCGCAGGGTGACCCCTGAGCCCGCCCACAAGGGCTGCCCACCCACCCTAGGCGCCCGCCCCTCGCCCGGCTGCGTCCCCATGGATTCCAGGGGCTCTGCAGGCAGCGCTGCCTCTGCAAACACCTGACCAGACTGGACTCTGTGTCCCCTCTCCCTAAGCGGCCACCTGGAGACAGGAGCCGCCTCCTGCGGCATCATCAGTGTTCTCCTTTACGCAAAGCACCTGCCTGGCCGGCGGATCAATGATGTTTCTAACTCTCCCTCTCCTTGCTCTCCAAAAACCAACAAAAACATATTTAATATACAAACAAACAAACAAATAAACACACATCCTGGCAGCGAAGTTTCTCATTTTCAAAAAGAGGCACCAAAACCGCCGCCTAGGCCCCGGGGGCCGCCGGGCTTCCTGCAGGGCCGGGCTGCGCGGGGCCGTCCGGCTGCACAGGCGGCTAACGGGGCCCTGCGCTCGGCTCCTGTAGGTGCTGAGTGGGACGAGCATTCTGTCCTCACGGTGTCACCAAGAACACACACAACTACACGTGACCGGTAACAGCGGGGTCCGACCACAGCAGAGACACGTGAACGGTAACAGCGGGGTCTGACCACAGCAGAGACACGTGACCGGTAACAGCGGGGGTCCGACCACAGCAGAGACACGTGAACGGTAACAGACGGATCCAACCGCAGCAGAAACACGCGCCTCCCTCCCCTCTTCCCATCAGAGCAGAAACTGTCCCTGAGGTTCAGCCCCTCCCGCCGCCACCTGACCAGCCGCACGTGGCGCGTGGACCCTGATCCTGGCGCCCCTCCCGCGAACCCACTGTTCCCCCTCCTCCTGGCACTGCCACCCTGGTCTGCCCTCCTCGGCACCAAATTCCTCCAGGACAGCTACAGCGGGCGCTCCCCCAGCCCACGAGCCGGAAGACAGAGGGAGCGGGCAGGACGGAGGGCACAGGCCCCCTGAGCATCCTCTCAGTGCTCCGAGGACAGCCACCCTGATCCTGGCCCCCCCCCCCCAGTGCTGCCTGGTCAGTCAGCCCCTCGGACAGAGCAGTGTTTCCACAGAGAAGGCGGGGGGGTGTACCTGTGGTCCCAGCGGTCCAGGCGGTCCCGGGACGCCCCCTTCGCCTTTCTTGCCCTGAGTGCAGAAAGAGAGGCAGCGTTAGCAGCGGCGGGCGAGGGCCCGAGGCCGTGTCTCCGAGGACACGGGCTCGGTTTCTCGGTGGCGATGACCGGGCAGGGGCCTGCAGGCCTGAGAGACGTGGCGAGGGTCCGAGGGGTAGGGGGCGGCTCCAGCTGCGGACAGTGAGGCCCAGCATTGGGGCCCGGCTCTGCTCCTGGGAGGATTCTGCTAGCCCCAAAGGACCAGACAGAGACCCCCGCCATCACCATCACCCCACCACCCTGGGCGCCCTCTCCGTCTGTTCCTGTGTCAGCCGCCAGCTCCTCTCTGGAAGGCGGCTCCTCCCACCAGGCGGACGCTGCTGGGCTCCAGGCCATGCGTCCCGCCAAACTCAGAGCCAAACTGCCAGGGCCTCGGCCCTCCTTCCGTGGCCGCCGGCTCCCCGCCGCCCGTCCTGTGCTGCTCCCTCACGCCCACCCGGCCATCCTCCCGCCCCTGAGCACGCCCCCACGCTCCACCCCCAGGCTTTCCACAGGCCCCTTCTGCTGGAGTCCCGGCCCGGGGTCCCCCAATCAGCCCCTCCCACAGCGGCCTGGCTCCGAGGCCCTCCCCGAATGCCTTCCTGGGCAGCGTGGCCACCGTCCGGAGGAAGGACAGCGTCAGGACTGTGTGACCACCCTCTCCCCCAAGAATGGCATCATCGCTCAGGACTCCCCTAGGAGGGCACCCCCGGCCGGCCCAGCACCTGGCCACGCCCCAGGGGCACGCCCCCCTCACATCCGTCCTTCCCCTCCAGGCGATTCGGGCCTGACCCGTGCCAGCAGGTGAGTCTCCCCGAAGGACGAGAGAAACTCATCACCGTCCCCCTCCAGCACAGCCAGCACTCCTCCTCCTCACGTGACAGGCAGGGCCTCTGGGCTGCTCGATGGGACCGGCCACACGCTGTGGTTCTGGCACCTTCTGTGCCCGGTGCCCAAACTCTGGTCCCTGAATAACAGCTGCAGTGGCTCAGACAGGCCCTCAAGACTCCCTCAGGACTCCTGGCCTCTGCGGGGCGGCCCACACGGCTGCCTCTGCCCGTCACCCCTTCGCTCCGCCCCGGCTTGTCCAAGTCCCGTCCCAGGCCAGCACCCCCTCCCCCAGGAGGCCCAGCAATCCGGAGGAATCGTGGCAACGTAGGGCAGCACGTGCCTGAGACGTACATTCCCCAGGGCTTCCTGCCCGGAGCCAACGAGTTACGCCCACCAGGATGGGGCGGGGGCTCTCAGTGAGCAGTTAGGTCGCCCTGGCTGCTCGCTGCGACCATGGCCTCGCCCCCAGCCCTTGCCTCTGCAGGCCTGAAAGAAAGGAATGCCGAGTCCAAGGCAGACGGGGCAGGCGAGCCACTCAGCTCGCCGAGTCTTGGTTTCCTCAAGTGGAGAATATAACCCCTGTGGTCATCTGAGAAGACAGGAGTGGGGGAATAACTCAGTGTTTAAGGAAGCGGCTTATAGAGCATAAGGAGGCGCCAAGCAAATGTACCAGGTAAATGTGAGGAGGAGGAAGATGGCGGTGACAGTAAGGAGAAGAAAGAAAACAGCCAGGATGCTGGCTCCTTTGAGTCCCCATAGCGGGTGAGACCATGGGTCACACAGATCCTCGCTATGCTGTGGAAGCTAAATGAGACAGTGCTCACAGGTGCCGACACAGGACCTGATGACAGGGAATGCACAGCAGTAACGGTGGTGGTTGTGATAATGATGGTGATGGTGCAGGTGGTGGTGGTGGTGATGGTGGTGATGGTCATGGAGGTGATGATGGAGGTTATGGTGGTGATGGTGGAGGTGATGGTGATGGTGGAGGTGGAGGTGGTGGTGGTGGAGGTGGTGGTGGTGGAGGTGGAGGTGGTGGTGATGGTGGTGGTGGTGGAGGTGATGGTGGTGGAGGTGATGGTGGTGATGGAGGTGATGATGGTGATGGTGCAGGTGATGGTGGTGATGATGGTGGTGGTGGTGGTGATGATTGAGGTGATAGTGGTGGTGGTGGTGGTGGTGATGATGGAAGTGATGGTAATGGTGGAGGTGATGGTGGTGATGGAGGTGGTGGTGATGGTCATGGAGGTGATGGTGGAGGTGATGGTGGTGATGGTGGTGGTGGTGGTGGTGGTGGTGTTGGTGGTGATGGTGGAGGTGGTGGAGGTGATGGTGGTGGTGGTGGTGGTGGTGTTGGTGGTGATGGTGGAGGTGGTGGAGGTGATGGTGGTGGTGGTGGTGGTGGTGATGGTGGAGGTGGTGGAGGTGAAGGTGTGGTGATAGTGGAGGTGATGATGGTGGTGAGGAAGGTGGCTCTAGTAATGGATGTAGCAGTAGTTACGTAACCTCTGCATTTTGGATATAAAATTAAGGATTTGAGAAGTGCTGGCCAGAGCAAGTTTTGAAGCAATAGAGAACTGCTTCACTAACAATAAGCCTTTTTCTTGTCATTTTTTCCCTTCTTCTCTTTTAAATTGCTGCCAGCACAGCATCTGGGCAAGTGTTTGTCATTTATCACGAGGGCAGACAATCCAAGCCGCTCCGGACGCCGGGCGCTGACAGGGACTGATGTCTCCGAGGCTGCCGGCCGGCCCAGGGGAGGAGGGAGCCGGACATTCAGAGCCGGCTCCTCCCGGCCAGGGTGTCAGCAGAGCGCCGAGGGGCCGGCAGCAGATGCGAGGATTGCTGCGCAAGGGGTTCTGACCTGCGCCGTCTGGTCTCTCGCTCGGCTCCTGTTCCCCTCGCCGCTAAGTGTCAAACCTGATTATTTCTACCGGTGAGAGCCGCCCAGGCGCTGTCCTCGCGCACACCCTGCCCCCCCGGCGCTGCGGAATGCGTCCCACAGCCGCCCTGATCCGAACAGCGCAGGCACCATCTGGCAGCGCAGGTAAAAGCCTTAAAAACTGCAAAGTAAAGCAAACGGAACCCAGGCTGCCGCTGACCAAAGGCCGCTCATTTCTCTCCTGGGGGTCAGCGCGGATGGGCCCCAAGATTCCAGGACAGGGGACCCCGCTCCGAGGGTAGCCGCCCGAGGAGAACGCCGTGGTGCTCAATCTGTCTACGGGGCAGGCACCGTCAGTGCTGAGGGCCCCTCGCTCTCCCAGGCCCCGCTGCAGGGACTCAGCATCCAGTTCAGAACTAACGCTGGTGTCACCTAAACACACACACACGCGCGTGCACACACATGCACACACACGCATACATGCACACATGCACGCACACATATGCACACCCATTCACACGCGCACACGCTCACACCACCCTCACGCAGCACAGAGGAGGGAGGAGCCAGGCAGGCAGAGCGCTAACCCTCGCCCCGCCATCGATCGATCGCCTGGGTGACAGGTGATCTGATCCACACCTTAGGGTCCTGGCTTCTCACTTGCGGAAGGAGAGTGAAGCAGGAGAGTGAAGCGCCGCCTTCCTAAGGGCCTGGTGAGAAAGAAGCGAGGAACCTGCGTGCGGGCAGCTCCCTCCCTGAGCCTGATCGGCCGCTCACTCCTCTCCTCTCTGCCTGCGAGCAGAGCTGCTCGCTGAGGGATACGTCCTGAAGGAGCCGGCAGGACCAGGCAGCAGGAGACCGTGGGGGTCACTATGGCTAGGAAGAGGGGACAGTCGTCCTTCTCACCGACAGGACGTGGGGGAGTGAGCCAAGGGGCCACGGGATTGCCCCTGGCTAGTGGGCGGAGCAGAGACGGCGGCCTGCGTGGCCGGCAGGAGGGCCGCCCCGCTTCTGGACGTGAGCTTTCCATCTCCGAATCCCCTCCCCCAGGCGGTCCTGAGGCTGAGCACCCACGTTTTACACGAAGTTTACATGCCTGACGGCAGAACTCGCTTCAACAAAGATGTGTGTTTTTTTTCTCTTTTATGGACAATGAAGAGGAAAGAGGAAATCTAGGCGGGCTAAGGTGGGACTCAGCACCACAGAGCAAGGTCAAGGCAAAATGAAAGAAAGGCACAGAAGGGACCACGTGGTCTCTACAACTGGGAGGCCGGAGCCTGGGTGGCCAGAGGCCGGTCCTGGCTGTCTCCCGCCACCCGCGTGTGTCCCCGCCCAGGGGGTGGTGTGGGGGCTGCACTCTCGCACACTGATTGTGTCCAACGCTCATAAACGCGTTAGCTGTTTGGGCGTCTTCCCCTAGACGGTACGTATGTACACTATGTGAGGTAGGCGCGTGGTCAGCGTGAGGCCCTCTTCCATGTCCTGCAGACATAGGGTCCTTCAGGGGCTCTGCTGAGTCTCGGGGTCCCCACTGCCTGGCCCAGGGTGGGTACACCGCCAGCCTCTGCCTGCTCAGGGCCACCCCCTTTCTCATCGGCCTCATGGTCATCTCCTCAAGGGCCTCCTTCCCCTGTGGCCTGTCCTCCCACAGGGGCCACATGGAGTGTAGACCAGGCCACGCCACTTCTGTACCCCAAATCCTACAGCGACCGAACTGCACCCGGAAATGCACGAGACCGTCAGGGAGAGTCTGGACACAGGAGGAGCCGGTGCTATGGTTCTGCTGCTTTTCTCTTCGCTCTGCCATCACCCCCTCCAAGCGGCCCTGGCAGGCGGCTCCCGGGTGGGGTTTTGAGAAAATCCCTCTGTCTCCGTTCTCCTGAGTCAGCGGGAGCAGTGCCCGCCGCCTCTCCTGCCAGGGCTCTGACCACTCACAGGTGTGAGCTGCAATGTCCACGACTCAGGGCAGACCACAAGCTCACCGCCATCTCCCCAGACCCAGCTCAACGCTGGGCACACCTCCTCCAGGTGAGCTACTAAGTCGGGGACAGATGGGTGAGCTGGGGCGGAAAGGAAAAGCGTACTTACCCGGAGACCTTGCAGGCCCGGGGGTCCCGCCTGGCCTTCTGGGCCCGTCAGCCCCTTGGGGAGGGAGAAAGAAACAAATGAAACCGCGGCAACTGCAGGCTCCACAGCTCGGGCACTGCTCAGCTGCACATTCCCTGGGCTGGGGAGCAGGGGGCGGGCGGGGAAAACGCGCTGTTCCCTCAAATCTCAAACGGAACCACCTGCTCCCACCTCATCTCATCAAGTATGCCCACAACCAGGAGGAGTCCACGCGTTGGAGAGGAGGAGTAAGAAGGATCAGTGCCCTGCGTTAGTGCCTGTGTGGCCTGTGCAAGAGAGGAGGCCTCGGGGCCCCGTTGGCTCAGCCCTGCGCCTCTGCTCGCTCCCCTGGCCCGGAAGGACTGGCCGGGGGTGCCCGACTCTGTCAACAGCGACACGCAGTACAGGGCAGTCTGCGCCAACGAGACTGGGCACGGAAGATGATTTCAAGTTAGCAAGGGGCCGCGGTGCAGGATAAGGCCGTAGACGCCTTGCTCCAATGCTGCCGGACCCCTGTGTCCTATGGAGCCGGTTCTGTCAGCAGCTTGGAGCCTGGAGGCCCTTCAGGACCCTGGACAGCTCCACGGGGCTGGAGGGCTGTGAGGTCCGGTGGCCTGAGGCCTGGCCAGGCCTGCCCCTGCTCCCTGCACCAGGCTCTGTAGGAACGATGCCGCAGAGCCTGCAGGGTGAGCGCAGCCACGTCTTCACCGCTCCTCCCCTCCGCCATGAGTCCGGGCGGGGACTGTTCGCCCGCGTCCCCAGCTTCACACTCTGTAGACGCCCGGCGCTGGCCAGTGACGGGTCAGAAACACACGTGCACAGAGCTAACGATTGAGCGACAGGAAGCCGGTGGCCACACGGGCGTGAGGTTTCCTCCTCTTCTCCCTCCTCACTGATTGTCACAAAATCTGCACACGGGAGGGGGGCCACCTGCGGGGGTACCCCAGGCCGCAGAGGAGTGAGGGGCGAAGAAGGCGGCCTCGTGACGAAGCCTCGCCAGCTTCTCGCTCTAACGATGGGGCAGGCATCGCCATGGCGGCGACAGCGGTGGCGGCGGAGAGAAGGGAGAGACGCCTACGGTGACGGCCCCGGGAGGCAGCTCTTCCGACCTGAACTCTGCACGGAAGGGCTACGACGCTGCAGGAAGGAAACATCCACGCTGCTCCCATTGCCCCGCAGCGCAGCCACGCACGTCCATCCTGAGAGGAAGGGGCCTGGCGGGTGCTGAGGAGGGAGAACCGTCCGTCTCCTGCAGAGAGCCCGTCGCTCCGCAGGGCATACCTGTTCTCATCAGTCACCGAGCATCTGCCCTCAGCGCTCCGGCCGCCCAATCCCTGCAGCGGCCCTCGGGACAGTCACCCACACATCGCGTCCTCACAGGGAGGAGCGGGCTGGGCCGCCAGCTCCAGGAGGGGCCGCGTGCACTGGGCGCGGTTTGGCAGGCAGGACGCGCCGATGCTCTCATGCCCGTTGTCTGAAGGGAACGTAACACCAGAGCGAACCCCGGGCCCCAGCCGAGGCCTGTCTGGGGCAGGGGCTCTGCAGGCAGGCGGCAGGCTGCACACACTGGGACCTGCCTCAGTGTCCTCCTGGGCGATGCCTGAGCTTCGGGAACAAAGGGATGCTGGGTAATGGCAAGGCCTGCTGCTTTCCAGACCTACTGTGTGCAGAGCAGACCTGGGCTGGGACGGTGACTTACCGGGGCTCCTGGAGGCCCAGGGGGGCCCTGGTGACCCCGTGGTCCTGGAGCTCCCTGTAACCCAAGCAAACACATTAGCCACGACTCCCCTCGGCGGTCTCAGACTTCACTCCCAAGTGCCCAGCGGGGCCCCAGGCACAGGGGGGCGTCTGCGTTCCCAGCAGGACACTCACCGACGGCTGTGCCCTTCTGTCTGCTCCCACCTGCAGCCCACCTGGAGGACTGCCTCCTCCTCCACCTCCTCTACCTGCTCCACCTGCTCCACCTGCTCCTCCACCACCTGCTCCTCCTCCACCTCCTCCACCTCCTCCATCTCCTCCTACTCCTTCACCTGCCCCACCTCCTCCTCCACCTCCTCCACCTCCTCCACCTGCTCCTCCACCTCCTCCACCTGCTCCTCCACCACTTGCTCCACCTCCTCCTCCACCTGCTCTTCCTCCACCTGCTCCTCCTCCTCCACCACCTGCTCCACCTCTTCCTCATCCTCCATCTCCTCCTCCTCCTCCACCTGCTCCTACTCCACCTGCTCCTCCACCTCCTCCACCTGCTCCTCCACCTCCTCCACCTGCTCCTCCACCACTTGCTCCACCTCCTCTTCCTCCTCCTCCTCCACCTCCTCCTCATCCTTCACCTCCTCCTCTTCCTCCACCTGCTCCTACTCCTCCTCCTCCTTCACCTGCTCCACCTCCTCCTCCACCTCCTCCACCTGCTCCTCCACCTGCTCCACCTCCTCCACCTCCTCCCCTGCTCCCTCCTGCAGCCCACCTGGAGGACCCACGTTGCTTACCTGCTCGCCCTTCAGGCCCTCTCTCTGCACCTGCGGGGACAAACTGGCATCAGCAAAGGCGGCAGCGTGTTCTCCATGGAGCTCTGGCTGCACTTGGGCACGCACACCGCAGGGCAGGCAAGAGGCAGCCATTGCTGACTTTCCGTGGGCTTGGCCCATCTCAGTGGGGAAAGCATGATGTGCAGCTTCCACTTTCCAGGGCTCCACCGCCGAGGAGCAGGGCTCCCCCAATGACACGCTCTATCAGCCCGGCTGCCGGCTCTCCAGCGGCCGGGACGGTCCCACTTACCACGGATCCCGGGACGCCAGGCGGCCCTGCCGGCCCCACGTCGCCCTGCGGGGAGATGACAGACATTTCACCGGAGGGCAGGCCGGCCACCTCTGCCCTGCCCTCCCTCCTCCGAGGCCCAGCACGTCCCCGCACGTCCACAGGCGCTCCCTGCTCTGCACAGCCACACACGGCCCTCACACTGTCCCCTCCTGCCGAGACACATCAGAGTCCCATGGAGGAGACCGGCGTCTGTGGCCGCGCCCAGGCCAGTCCTGCTCCCGCCACCACCTTCTGCTGCAGAGCGGCCCTGCCCGTGGCCAGGGAGCCCTGCGGCGCCGGGCGCCAGGCCAGACTGTAGCCGGGCGTCTCTGCCGCGGCCCGTGGTCAGAGGGTCCATCAGAGAGTGACTGGCCGAGTGCTGTGCACTCCCTCCTGCTTCCACGGGGCGGAGGCCTGAGCCTGGGCCTGTCCCTCCCGTTACCGCCGGCCACGGAGCGATGGGGACGGTGACGGGTGAGATGCCCAGCCTGAGAGCCACACCTGGGCTCTACGTAGGCACCACCTGTCACCTGTGGCCACAGGCACGCCCTTGTGGCTGGTGTCACTCGTGGTGAGAGTGTTGGCCTGCGCACCGAAGGGCTGCAGGTTCGATGCCCGGCCCAGGTCAGGGCTGGTACAGGAGGCACCCATTCCATGGGCCTCTCACACCAGTGTTTCTCTCTCTCTCTATGGGAGGACGAACTAGCGCCAGGGACCACACACGGGGGTCCCCAGGACATCACGCGAGGCGGAACGGCCAGGAAGAGAGAACCTATGACCTCACTCCCACGAGGGACGTGAACCGGAACCTCAGAGCCACGAGCGGCGGCTGCCGAGGAAGGGGCGGTGGAGAGTGGGGTCCTAACATGCGGGGCGGGAGAAGGGGGACTCCGGGTGCTGGGCACACGGTGCAACCACAGGTCCGTCACACAGAAACCCACCCTGAAACCTGCGTGACCCCATTCACCCACGTCACCCAATAAATCTAATTCTAGAAATCCATAGATGAGGTGCAAGTTTAGAATTTAATAGAATCTCCTCTCTCTTCCTCTCCCCGCCACTGTCTTGCCCCTTCTCTCCCCCCTCCCTTTCTCAGGAAAGAGTCGACATCAGATCCAAACGCCAATGATCCTTCCTTCTTAGTGACTTGAAATAAACTGCGTGCTTATTTTAGGATTTAGCATCTTGCCACGGAACTGCAGGGAAAGTTTAAAATCCTGACACCGGGATCATATAACATGTAAACGTCACCCTAAAAATGCTCAGAGGGAGAGCGAGCAATGAGCTCCGCCCCCATCACAGCCCGAGGAGGGGGCTGGGCAGGCTCTGTGCTCCCCGGGGCCCGCGCAGCCCGGGGGCCTGTGTGTGTTTTCTTCCGCCTTACACCCTCCCGCCTCCTCCCGCTGGGCAGCTCCCCCGTCGGCATTTGCAGGGGGCGCTGGGAGCCAGCCCAGGTCAGCCAGCCTCCTTCACCCGAGCTCAGGGACCCGAGAGGACAGATGTACCGTGGGCCACACCCATCGCGGTTCACTGGTTCCTCCTGCCTGCCCGCCCTTCCCCTCCCCAGCTCTCCTCCAGCTCAGCTCACAGGGTGTCCTTCCGGAGGGCCGGTCCAGAGCCTGGCCGTCAGGGGCAGGGCTGTGCCTCGTCACCCCTCCTGTCACCCAGAACACACCCACCCCATTTTACCGGACGCTTAGGAAGGTCATGCTCCTCACGGTCATTTCTGTAGCACCCCCAGATCTGCGGGGAATTCTCACACACTTTGTCCAGCTGGGATACAGGGGCTCTAAACAGGGAATTAACTGAGCTAAGCCTGTAGAGATCGGTTCTGAAACAGATGGCCAGCCTGCCCCGCGTGGCTCAGGGGTTGAGCATCGACCTATGAACCAGGAGGTCACAGTTCGAGTCCCATCAGGGCACAGGCCCGGGTTGCAGGCTCCATCCCTAGTGGGGGATGTGCAGGAGGCAGCTGATCTATGATTCTCTCTCATCATTGATGTTTCTCTCTCTCTCCCTCTCCCTTCCTCTCTGAAATCAATAAACATATTTTTTAAAATAATAAAATAAAATAGATGACCAGTATAGCGAGAGAGATAACCTTTGCTCAGTTTATCAGGGATCCAGCCTATTTTCAGAAATATTTAACCTAGTTACAAAAAAAAAAAAAAAAAAAGTAAAAATCTTTTTAAACATGGCAGAGGGGAGAGGAAGAGGAAAGGAGTAAGACATTTTGGGTATTGATTCCTACCCGGCCTCAGTCCAAAAGCAATGTAAGTCACATAATACTTCACTGTGTCTGAACAGAATAGGAACAGATTAAAGTTTTATTCCTACGAGTAGGCAAACAGGAAGTGACCAGAAATGACCTGCTAGCGGAGGTCCTCAGGCCAGCGCAGGCCGGTGTGGCCTTAGCCCCGGAGCCCAGCCTGCCCCCCGCTCCCCCCCTCGCCCCAGACTGATCCGTGCAGACGGGCAGCTCACGCCCGGTCAGTCCGCAGCCCGGACCACCTCCTCCCCGGGCCTGGCTTACCTTCTCTCCCGGGGGCCCGGCTGTGCCGGGAGGGCCAGGCCTTCCCTGGGGGGAGAGGGGACACTGTAATACCGTCCACAATAAAACACACACACGTTCACGAAGCGGCCGCAGCACTCAGAGCACGTGCACGTCCTCCGTGACCGTTACACGCATGGGCACACGCCCGTCGCTGAGTGAGGGTGGGCTCACGGTGCCATGTTCTCCGGGTGCCTCCCCCCCCCCCCGCTGAGCGGCACGGAGGCCGAGGCCCCAGCAAACAGCACTCCAGCCCCAGCCCACCCCGTCCCCCCACAAAACCCACCCCCGCCGGCGCCAACGCCACCTACCTGCTCCCCCGCCAGCCCCGGCTTCCCGGGGAAGCCGTCCAGGCCGCGCTCGCCCTGGCAACGGGAGGAAACGGAGAGAAGGTCACGGTCAGGGTCACGGAGAGGCACACAGAGGCCGAGAGTCCGACTGGACCGGCTCCACCCTCCCCCGGGCGCCTGAGCTGCAGGACACCCTCACACCGGCCACAGCCAGCGAGGAAGCGTGTCAGCGGCCAAGGAGCAGACGTCAAAGGTCAGAGAAACCAGGGTCCCAGCCCTGCCTCTCACTTCCCTGATCTGTGAGGGGGGGGGGGGCATGGAGCCTCTCTGAACCACAGTCTCCTCGCACCCCGGCCTCCGGGGTGGGGCAGGAGGGGATCCCTCAAAGTCCCACGTGGGTGGGTTTTCCCGCCTCAGGTCTTCAGGTCCCAACCCCTCCTGCGGGGCCCACAGGCTGCAGTTCCGAGGCTCTGTCAACAGAGGGCGCGCGCACCCCACTCCAAGCCAAACCGCCGAGCCTGCCTTGGGGGCTGAAGTCTTGGCAATTCTGGATTCTGGGTGTTGCTACACACATGTCACAGGGGAGGGCGTGTGGTGTGTTTCCTCCTCCACGCTGCTTGCTCCAAAAAGGTTTCTGGCGAGGATCTAGACTGGTCTCATACCCCTCGGATCCCAGAACTGGGAGGGGGGTCCCACAGCCTGGCCTCTGACAGAGGGAACCAGGGGGTGCTGAGAAGGGCCTCCGCCCCGGAGTGAGTGCAGGAGCCAGACCTGCCCCAGGCTGAGCCAGCAGGCGCGGCTCCCGCTCCTCCCACCCTCCCCTGCTCTGTCTGTCTGTCTGTCCGTGTTGTAAACACATGTCATGTGCTGCCCACAGGATTTTACAAGTGTTCACGCTCCCGCTGCTCAGAGCAGCCTTCCGTGTCGATGTCCTCTGAGCCGCGGGGGAGTCTGACACGCGGAGTCTGACACGCAGAGGGTCACAGCCCTCCAGGATCCTCGCTGGGATCCCCGCTCTGGCCCCCAACACAGGCAGGGTCCACGGCACTGAGCAGGAGGCCACGGGCACGCCCCACTCCCTCTCCCAGACCTGACCCGGAGGGCCCCGTGCACCCCACAGGCATGTGCACACACACACGTGCGCACACACACCCGCGCATGCGCACGCACACGCGCACACACGTGCACACACACACGCACACACATGTGCACGCACACACGCACCCGTGCACACACCTGTGCGCACACACACACACTCGCGCATGCACACGCACACACACTCGCGCATGCACACGCACACACACTCGCACACGCACACGCACACACGGCACAGAGCAGACGGCCCGGCGTGCTCCTCCTTGCCCCACGGGAGCTGCGTCCGTGAGCGGAGCGAGCAGGTACCTTTTCTCCTCGGGCTCCCCGCTCCCCGCGCTCTCCCTGGAGACCCTGGGTGTAGGCGGGGAGAGGAGCGGGAGGTTAGTCACCACCACATGCTGGTCCAGTTCTGTCCGCACCGTGGGGCTGCGCACGGCTGCGGGGCGGGGTGAGGAGTCCCCCATGGGGTCTCCCTGCACACAGCCGGCTGCTCTCCCCCTCAGCCTGCCTGCCGAGGGGGCTCCGGGCTGGCCCCGGGGGCTGGGTGACCAGGGCTCCGGCCAGACTGGGACACAGCTGGCCCCTGAGCTCCTCTGGCCAAGGGCAGGCTCCCGAGCCCGGGCCCCGGCTGCCCAGCCCCGAGACCCCGTCCCCGTCACTCCACCCGCACATGTGGGACAGCGGTCCCCGTGGATGGATGGGGGGGCGGGAGGAGGGAGCCCTGTCCCAGAGCCTGGGTCTCCCGCCCCCGGAGAAGGGCACAGCCCCGCGCGGTACCTACCGGAGCGCCGACGTGGCCGGGTGGGCCGGGAAGTCCGGGCGGCCCCGGCGACCCCTGTGAGGAGAGCCACAGGTTTGCGAGCGGGAAGCGAGGGCGGGGCCGGGCCACGCTCAGCCCACACCACGTGGGCGTGAGACCCCTGCTCTCCCCCGCCGCTGCCACTCTGCTCCCACGGTCCACCGAGACCCCAGACCCCACCCCCAAACCCCCTGCCACCCCCTGCCACCCCCTGCCACCCCCCTGCCACCCCCTGTCACCCCCTGACTCACCTCCCATCAGCTCAGCGTCACGGACTAGCAACCAGCACATCTGAGCTCTGATGAGGCCAATGCGACCACTCCCACTTCCACTCACCCCTGACCTGTGCCCCTTGCCCCCTGACCTGTGCCCCTTGCCCCCTGACCTGTGCCCCTTCTGCCATGACTAGGCCAGGACATGGGCACAGCCCCTGATGCCCACGACCGAGGCCTGCAGGGTCGCTCTGTCACCGGCCCTGCAGCCAGACGAGGCCTGACCCGGCCCCGCCGATGCCCACAGCCCCAGGGCCCCCCCCCCACCCGCGCCTTTCAGTAACCGATGTGGCCGCGTCTATTAAAAGCCGGTTAAGTTAAAAGGCGCGTTTCCTCCGCGGAAGGCGTGCTGTGTGTGCTCTCTCTCCGAATGAAGGCAGAGGACACGCAGGGACGGCCGCATCGATTTCAGCGGAATCGGAAACCACCTCGGGGCAGGCGGGGAGCCGTGTGCTGGCGCCGCCCCGGGCCGGGAGGGACACGCACTGCCCAGGGCACCGTGTCTCTGTGCCGCCCGCCGTGGGCAGGGTCTCCGGGCTCTTGTGAAACGAAGCAGGTAACCGCAGGCTGCGGGAGGCTTCGTTTGGTAAGAACGTGGGGAAAACCACCTGTGGACAGACACGCCCACGGCAGGGAGAAACCGCCCCCCCCCCCACCTATAGCTGTGGATCTGCACCAGGCCTGCCCCCCGGGACTCGATGACACAGCCGGAGCACTCACCCGCATGCCCACCTCGCCAGGCAGCCCCGGCTCTCCGGTCTCCCCCTGCACACAGGACAGGCGGCACCGTCAGGACCCCGGGGGCCGGGCCGAGCCCCAGGGGCAGCCCCCGCTGGGTCCCCTTCCCTGGAGCTGAGGACGCTTTGCGTTGGGGGCGGCCCCGCGGTCAGAGCCCAGGCCCCTCCAGCCTCCTCGGGGAGCGGAGGAGCCGAGCGTGGAGGGAGGGGTCACCCGGCCCCGCCGCCCGGTGCGGAGGCTCCCGGAGGACGGGTGGACGGGCGGGGGGAGTGGAGCCACGGGGGCGACAGGAGGCTGTCTTCACGGAGGAGCGAGGGGGGTCTGGAGCCTCGTGGGCCCCCCTTTCTGTCCTGTCTCCGCCCAGACCTTCGTCTTCGAGCACTAATCTCGGCGGGCTCGGGGAGCTCCCGCACTGAGGCCTGGCCACTGTGGCTTCCATCGCATAGGGAGGGGTGGGCACCCAGACCCCATCTCCAGGGGTTCCCGGGGAGAAGCTGAGCCCAGAGGGGAGACTGCTCTGCCCCTGAGGATGGGATCCCGTGTGGAGGCAGAAGGGGGTGGCACAGGGAGGCGGGCAGGCTCTGCGGGGGACAGTGCTGTGCAGGGGTCCCCCCCGGATTCCTCCAGCTACACACGGGGGTCGGGGGCGAACCCCGCCCCTCGGGCCTCCATTTGGTGCCAGGTCTGGGCATTGGGGACACGCCCTCCCGGCGGAACTAACGGAGAAACAGCTCCGAGCGCAGGCAGGCGAGGCCGGAGCCACCGCTGCAGCTGCCACTGTGACCCAGGCTGTCCTCGGGGCAGGGCCAGCCCTGTGGAGGGCGGGGGTCCTGGCCTGGCGCAGCCGGGGGGAGGGCGGCCGGACACACGTACCCGCACGCCTTTGCTGCCGTCTCTCCCGGGGGGGCCGGGCGGGCCCAGGGAACCCTGGGGACAGAGAGCACAGCGTTAGCGCGGAAGGAGGCGCGGGGACGGGCTCCCGGTGTGCTGGCACCGCAGACAGGCGGGCAGGACCCCGAGGTGTGGCTGCTCAGAGGGCCCCCCGACCCCCTCCCTGCACCTGGGCAGCGCCCGGGAAGGTGAGAGACACAGGTGCTTGGGCTTCCCACGTAACTTCTGCCACTGAGCAAACCGCTGAGCCCTGCTGGGTGGTGTCTCAGCCGCACCCGTCAAAAGAGGGACATGGGGACAGGGCTCCGCCCCGGCGGCTCCTGAGACGCCGTGATGACGTTTTGCACGCAGCGGGGCTGGAAACCCACGTGAGTGCCGCCGTTTGGGGTCAACGATCCAAGCCTCACGCTTCGCCTGTGAAAAGGATCTCGCTCGCCCGGCGTGGCTCAGGGGCTGAGCATGGGCTTATGAACCCGGAGGCTGAGGTTCCATTTCCGGTCGGGGCACAGGCCTGGGTTGTGGGCTCCATCCCCAGTGTGGAGCGTGCAGGAGGCAGCCGATCCATGATTCTCGCTCATCCTTGGTGTTCCTCTCTCTCCCTCCCTCCCTCTCCCTTCCTCTCTGAGATCAATAAAAATATGTTTAAAAAAAAAAAAAAAAGAGGAAACCACTCAGGTAAGAGGGTGACGTAGATAAGACCGAGACCCGTTCCGGACGGTACCCAGGCTGGGAAAGAGGCAGAGCCCCATGCACACCGGCAGCTGTGCCTCCATGTCCACGTCGAGGCCTTGACCTCTCTGCGCACCCGCCCCACCTCGTGAGCTCACTGGGAGCCGCCGGAGAGGGCCATCTGGCAGGAAGCGGCCCGCCACGCCCAGGTGCCAGAACCGGAGCCCCCGGGGATTCGGGGGTGACCTCATCGGGCAAAAGCCCGAGGAAAGAGAGCCAGCGTCCTGCACGTCTGCCTCATGAGCCATCAGGCCTTTCCCTGAATGCTGACCGAGAGGCGGCTCCGGGCAGGAGGGTGCTGTGAGCTCTTCGCCCACCAGGGGGAGCCCGGCCCGGTGCTCCGGGTTGGGTCAGAGAGCCCTCTGGGCCGTGGTCCTCAGGGGAGGTGTGCCTGGCGCCGGCAGCCTGGGACACTGGGGTGCAGCCCAGCAGGTGTTCTCACAAGCCATCCAGGCGGCTCGGGGGCTCAGTCAGTGTCTGAGAACCACCTCTCAGCACCGCTAAGTGTAGGCTGGGGAGCCAGACCACAGCCTGGGTCCAGGCTCGGCCACGTACACAGACAGGCTCCCTGCTCCTGCTCATGTGGTCAATGAGCATGTAAAACGGGGACAAGAATACCCTCTAGCCCTGACCGGTTTGGCTCGGTGGATAGAGCGTCGGTCTGTGGACAGAAGGGTCCCAGGTTCGATTCCGGTCAAGGGCATGTACCTTGGTTGCAGGCACATCCTCAGTAGGGGGTGTGCAGGAGGCAGCTGGTCGATGTTTCTCTCTCATCGATGTTTCTAACTCTCTATCCCTCTCCCTTCCTCTCTGTACAAAATAAATAATTTTTTTTAAAAAGAACACCCTCCAGCTGCTCAATGAGCCATTTGGGATGAAGTGAGGAGAGAACAGGACACTCCCCTGTGCACAGCCACCTGGAATGCACTTTCTAACAACGCCCGCCCCCGGCTTCCTGAGGCTCTGGGAGATCAAGTCCTCTCGGGGGACAGGATCCCTGGCATTTCCCAGCCGGGGGCGCCCCTGGGGGATCAGACTTCACGGATGCGAGGGCAGAGGGGACATCATTTGTGTATAAGAAATGGAGTGCCGTGCTGCTGAAAGGGTAATTACCCTTAACACATACGAGCGCTTTGCACAAATATAACTCATTTATTTTCTCTGGCTCATTGCATCCTGGTAGCAGCCCTCTGGGGCAGCTGGCAGCGCTGGTTTATGCTGAGAAAAGCGAGGGCTGCAGGGGTGGAGGGACTGCCCAGGGCCACACAGCTGTGAGGGCCGAGCCCTCAGCCTCCCGGCCCGCCCAGGCCAGCGGCCGGCCGCCAGCATTCACACCCCCACCCTAATTCCCATAAACGCCCCCAGCTGCTGGGTGCAGCCCTGGGTCCTGGGATGGCCCCGAGTGAGTGTCGGACGGAGCTGGGGGGAAATGCAGGCGTCCCTAGCTGGCTCTGCCGGGGGCTGTGAGGTCCCCTGAACACACAACCGCCCCGCGCGTCCTTCAGCACCACAGACAGGGTCAGGGGCACCTTCATGTGGCCAACTTCTGGCATTTTGCCCACCACCTCCAGGCTTCTGGAGGGCGCACACGCAGCCAACGTGTTTTACCCCAAACCCTTCAATTATTACAAAAATAGTAGGCCCTCCACCGCCGTTATCCAGCCCAATGGCCGTGAATAACACGCATTAGCGGCGGGCTAAAATGGGAGCCGGCTGAGGGAGCCGGCCTGACCTGAGAGGAGGGGACCCGGAGCCCGAGGCAACGAGCATGGACAGACCTCAGATGTCTCTCTCTCTCTCTCTCTCTCTCTCTCACACACACACACACACACACACACACACACACACACACACACCATCGTGTGTTAGGGCCCAGGCAAGAATTTGCCTCTGGAAGTTTCAGCCCCAGAGGCTGCGGGGCCTCATGCAGGCGCCTGAGCTCCGAGGCCATCGCGCAGGGGGTCTTTGCGGGCCGGCTCACCGGACAAAAGAAGCTCCTTCCCACAGGGGCCTGGCTCTGAGGGTCAAGGACACTCAGGTCTGAGCATCACCCAGGGAAACCGGGCTAGCGGGGGCCTGGGGTCGGACAGACAGGCACGGCCTCTGTCCCCTCAGCCCACGGCTGGGAGTCCCCTCAAGCCTCCTGCCTGGCCAGAGGCAGATGGTGCATGGTCCACAGCCGCTCGGAGGTGCCCGCACTGTCCAACTCCAGATCAGAGGAGGAGGCGCCGGCCCCCTGGGGGTGGCATACAGGGGGGCAGCCGCCGCTCTCCTCAGCCCTGGGGGCTGGGCGGCTCACTGACCGCCTGCACCCGCCTCCTCACGGCCCTCCTTCACTTCATCTCTGGCCTCCGGTTCCCAACCGGCACCGGTGTCTCTGGCTTCACGGTGAGCCAACCCGCAAAGACCCCCTACATGATGACCTCGGGGCTCAGGCGCCTGCACGAGGCCCCGCAGCCTCTCGGGTCGTCCAGTTGGGGTTTCCAGAGGCAGCGAGCATCCTGGGAAGTCGGGGCAGCCGGGGCTGGGGGTCAGGGTGCAGACACCCTCGCACCAGCTATCCCAGGCGGGGTGCTGCCCTGCTAGAAACAGGGACAAGCATGACAGACCAGGAAGCGAGGCCTGAGGGACGGAACGCTCTGTCTGCTGCGGCCTCGCAGCCCAGGGACATTCAGCGAGGCTGGCGCTGGGCCCGGGTGTATTTTCTGAGCAGTCGCACAGCGTCCACACGGAGCTGTAGTTACTGCGTGCGGGCGCCCGAGGAGATGCTTACGGCAGGCTCCTGGGCGGCTGTTTCTGGTTTTTCCCTCCAGCGAGCGCTGAGTAAGGAGCTGCTGACCCAGGCGCCGCTCTGCGGACGCTCTGCCCCAATTCTGTCCCTCGCGTCTCCAGGGCCTGGGCATGGGGAGGGTGAGCCAGACACCGCCACAGGGGCCGGGGGCCGCTCCCTCCCACTCCGGGGAAACCAGGCTGCTCAGCACTTCTCTCCCTGCCCCGGGCTCAGCCGGGGCTGCCTGGAGGCCTTCTCCCACTGCATCTCGAGCCAGCTCAGCTCCCACGTGGGTGCCAGCCGCCTCCTCTGAGACAATACTGTGTCCTCCGTGGGGGCCCTGGAGTCCTGGCCCCGGCAAGCCCTGACTCCACTCAGCAGCGTCACTCGCTCACAAGGACCCACTCTGAGCGCCTCCTTCCCCTGCTGGAACCGGGCAGCGGAACAACAGGAATGTGCAGCTCCACCCTCCCCCCCGCTCGTTCGGTGTGAACTGGCTTAGGAAAGGCGCCGGGGCCCGGCCGAGTGGCTCCGCGGCTGTGCAGGTTTATACGTGCAGCTTTCCTGGGCCAGCGACAATGCCGGGTGCTTCCGTGGGCATCATCCACCTCCTACTATCCCCCGACACAGCCCAGGGGGTCGGCATGCCTGGCTCCACCTCACAGACGAGGAAGCTGAGGCCCAGAGAGGCAGTGAACCAAGCTCTCCCAGCCGCGGCAGAGCAGGGATCCAGGCCAGGTCTGCCCACCTCCCCCAGCCTGGACTGAGCCCCAAACCATGGCTCCCCAGGGGCCAGGAAAGGAGGCCAAACCCCGAGAAGGTGGGCAGGGCCTCTCCAGACAGAGGTCACCTGGCAGGGGCCCTGCAGAGCCAGCCTGGAGCCTGCGCTCTGGCTTCCCGACAGCAGAGGGCGCTGTGGGCCCAGGAAGGCTGCAGCTTCCTCCCTTGCAGGCCCTGGTCGCCCAGAGCAGGACCCTGGGAGGCACCATGAGGTTGCTCACGGGAAACTGCACGCCGTGGCCATGTTTGTGCTGTTTCTAGACTTTAATACCCGGGTCTGCAGACCACAGCTCCACGGATGCACACGGACCCAGGGCCCGCCCCACAGGACATGCACACACCACCTCCTCACTGAGGGCAGGAGGGAAGGGAGGGCACGCAGGCCACCCCCGCCCCCTGCTCTCCGAGGTCCCAGTCCTCCAGGGCCGGCGCACACCGTGTCCGGGTAAACGACACAAAAACACGCAAAGGTCACAGCCAGATCGGTCACGTGATGCCCGGCCCCACGGCCCCCGTCCCTCCAATCACCCTCCCCGCCCCCACCCCTCTGCAAATCCCTCTGGAGAGAATATTCTAGCAGGAGGCCACTTGCTCAGCCCTGTTCATGGGTCTTAGTCACAGTGACCGTCTCCCCTCCGCGGACTCTGGCCCGGGGGACCCACCGGGCTGCCCCGTCCTCCGAGGGAGACCAGAGACCCCCACACGAGGAAGCTCCAGGGGTTCGGGCTGCAGGGGGCGCGGGGCCCGATCTGAGAGCCGCCCTGCCAGGCCTGCAGGCGTTGGCACACCCCCCCCCCCACTGTCTGCGGAGGGGAGAGCAGCGGGTCAGAGTGGGAGGTGGCACCCAAGCCACACGGCCGCTCCTGTGGCGCAGCCAGCACGCGGACTCTGCTGAGAACGCACAGCTGACGGCCCAGCGTGGGAGCCAAGGACAGAGCCATCGGGCCCGTCTGTCCGGCTGCCCGTCCCTCCCGCCAGCTCGGAGCACGAGAGGCCCCGCTCTGGCTGTGGCCCTGCACTCCGGGGGCGAGAAGCCGTGCCTCAGGCAGGGCTGCGGGCACTGGGGGGGCCTCCGGGCGTCAGGAGCCTAAGGCTGCGCCTCCTGAGCTGTCAGGACAGACGGAGCAGACGGAGACACCCACCTCCGCGGGCCTGGGGAGCCGGACAGCAAGGGAGACGCTCACCTTTTCACCCTTCTCTCCGTGGACGAATGGTCCTCGGCCCTGAGGAGGAAGGGAGAGGGCAGAGGTGACCCTGGGGCCTCCGGGGGCCTGGCATGGCGTGGCAGCCGCTCCCGGGGACGGGACACGTGGGCAGCTTCTCGTGACGAGACGGCCACCGCCGTGCAGAGCGGTGATGCTCACGGGCACCATCGCATGTAAACCCCCCACCACGTCGCAGCCCGGTGCTCTCCGTCCTCCCGGCTCAGCACCACGGAGAGGCAGCCTCCTGCCCGCTGGGACCGGGGAAGGGAGGTGACGTGGGGCACAGAGGCGGTGGGTGACCCAGACCTGGGAGCGGGGCACCCCAGGGTACCCCACTGCCAACTGTGCGTGAATAGACAATGTGAGCCAGACAGGAGGGGAGGGGCACCAGGCGGGTGGAGGGCACACTGGTCCTGCAGGGAGACCACGCAGGGGCCGGGGAAGAGGTGGGCACATGGGAAACCCTGATTTCCCATCGGGTGGCCGAGGTCCAGGGTGAGAGTGGAGGTGAGGTCACGGTCAGAGTGCCCGGCTGTGCCCTGCCCGCACGCCCCACCCCTGTGCCCACAGCCAGGAGCCGGGGCTTCATGGTGAGGGAGGGACAGGACTCGGGGCCTGGCGCCCACCAGGGGCCCGTGCACTCCAGGGACAGGCATGACCGGGGCCCGGGGTTTCCCTCCCCAGCCAGGCAGCGGAGGGGGCGGGGGCGCCGGCACTCACCGAGTCGCCTTTCTCACCCTTGGGTCCCGGAGCCCCGAACAGCCCGGGGCTGCCCCTGTCGCCCTGGGGAGTGGAAACGGGAGATGAACATCACGGAGGTCCTCCCTCAGGCCCCCCGCACCGCTGCCCACAGCCCGCGAGCCCCACCCGGGGAGCAGCTGACCTTGGCCTTGTCTCCTGCACCACGAGGCCACCGGCCCAGCCCGAGGAGGGGAGACCTGGGTAATTTCCCAGCCTCCTCCCCAGGCGCCAGGGCCTCTGAGGAAGCGAGTGCCTGCAAGGTCACGCTTGTTCCTGGGAACGGCCTGGCCCTGCACCGAGCCCGGGCCCCAAGGAGCACTAGAAGCCCCAGGTCTGCCCGGCCAGTGTGGCTCAGTGGTCAGTCTAGGAACCAGGAAGTCACGGTTCCATTCCCGGTCAGGGCATATGCCCGGTGGTGGCCTCGATCCCCAGTGTGGGGCGTGCAGGAGGCAGCCGATCCATGACTCTCTCTCCACATTAATGTTTCTCTCTCTCTCTCTCTCCCTCTCCCTTCCTCTGAAATAAAAATACATTAAATTTTTTTTTTTTTCTAAAAGCAGCCCCAGGCGGCACCCCAGCTCGGCTGCGGCTGAGTTGGGGCTGTGTCCCTCTCCTTGCTCAGTTTCGGGGTGAGAAATGGAGGCGCTGAGCAGAGAGAGGCTCACGCCCCTGCTTTTTCCTTCCTCCCCGCCCGTCCGGGAGCCACGCCCGCCGGGCAGGGGCCGAGCACCGGGTCTCTCCTCCCCCGGACAGCACGGCCGAGGTGTCCGGGCTCAGAGCCACCCCGGCCGGCCCCGGCACTGACCTTGGGGCCGGGCAGTCCCACGGGGCCAGCGGAGCCCTTTTCTCCCTGCGGGGAACGGAGAAACGGCACGAGTCAGGCGAGTGCTCACGCCGCCCGAGCACAGCCAGTCTCTGCGCCGCGCTGAGGCCCTCCAGGCGGCCGCATCCCCGCCCGGGCCTCTGTCTCCTTCTCCCTGGCCGCACCGCTGAGCACCGCCTGGCACTGCCCGCTGAGGGCAGACACGGCCACAGACCTGACCGCAGGCTGGAGGCCGAGCCCGAGGCTGTGGGTCCGTGAACCTCATGGAGACTCTGCCCAGCACGACCTGCTTTTGCCCTCTGGTGCGGTTTGTGTGTGTCGTGCCCAGCAACAGACAGCGTTCTGTTCTGCTTTCTTGCCGGAAGGGCCGGTGGTCCAGAGAAACAGACACTCAGTCTAGGTAACGGAGGCCATGTATCCACAGACGCACACTCGTTCTTAAAATTAGAACAAGATGGCCGAAACCAGTTTGGCTCCATGGATGATGGGTCAGCCTGCAGACTGAGGGGTCCTGGGTTTGATTCCGGTCAAGGGCATGTACCTTGGTTGCAGGCACATCCCCAGTGGCGTGGGGAGGAGTGCAGGAGGCAGCTGATCGATGTTTCTCTCTCATCAGTGTTTCGTGCTCTCTCTCCCTCTCCCTTCCTCTCTAAAACAATCGATAAAATATTTTTTAAATATATTTTATTGATATTTTACAGAGAGGAAGGGAGAGGGGTAGAGTCAGAAACATCGATGAGAGAGAAACATCGATCAGCTGCCTCTTGCACACACCCTACTGGGGATGTGCCTGCAACCAAGGTACATGCCCTTGACCGGAATCGAACCTGGGACCTTTCAGTCCGAAGGCCGACGCTCTATCCACTGAGCCAAATCGGTTTCAGCCAATAAAATCGTTTTTGAAAAAATAGAATAAAATCAGAAAAATACGCATACACACCTACTCGCCTACGCACTGAGGTTGGAGTCTGGCTCCTTCAAGAAACGTGGAGAAGGAAGGGACCAGGGTGCCCACAGACCCATCCACACCCACCACAGCCTTTCTCTCTGATTCTCAAACCAAGTCCTGTTTGGCTCAGCTGCCCGCGAGGGCAGGGGCCACAGGAGGGGCCAGGGTTCCAGGGGACCCCTTCACTGACTCCGGGAAAATGCCCTCGGAGCTGTGTGAGGAGCCTCCGTCCTGGCGTGCACACGACCAGGAAGCGAGAGGTCTGAGGAGCAAGAACACTTCCCTGACCTGAAGGTCACGGAGCCTGGGAGCCGCAGGCCCCGGCAGAGCAATGCATGATGGGAAACTCCCACCTCCACGGCCGGTCCTGTGGGCCAGCCTGCTCGCTCAGCGCTGGGGCTGCAGGAGGTACCTTCTCTCCGGCGGGGCAGGAGCAGTTGATGGTCTTCAGAAAGCCGACCTGCTCGCTGCCGGCAGTGGGTGGCGGCGGGGCCAGGGGCGGGGGCTCGGTCTGCACGGTCACCTGGCACTGGAAGGAAAGCCGGGCAGGTCAGCACTGCTTCTCACCCAGCACCCCGCCCCACAGGCTCCGTCTGGAGCCTCCTCACAGCCCGGACAGACCTCTAGCCCGCTCGCCCGGCCGGACCGGGACACGGGTCCCTAGCAATGACTCCGGGTTTCTAATGGCGGGCGTCCCCTGCACCCCGACTGCCCCTCCCCAGGCCGGACACACACCCCCCTTCTGGAGGCCCAGGACCCATCTCCCCCCGGTCTCTGCGCAGGGCCTGCTCACCGGGCCCGTGGGGATGTCACAGCAGGTCTCCAGCTCCGCGTGGCGGGAGTCGCAGTAGATGACAGCGCGCTGCAGGTCAAACTGAAAGAGAGCGGGCGGAGGGCGTCCTGGGACCCGGCCTGCACCGGGCGTGCACCGGGCAGGACCCCTCCTGTCTGGGCCGTTCCCTGACGGATCACGCCTCAACCAAGAATAAGACAAACTCTGCTTATTGGGGTAGGTTAGCCCCCGGAGACAAAGCTTCTTTGTCTAACACGTAAAAACCGTCCAGACATTTCAAAGGCATTAGGAAAATCAAATTAGGTTATATCTTTAGTGCCTGAACCAAAGGAGGGACTCATACAATTAGAAAAATGAACGAACAGAAAGTTTATTCAATACGAGAAGCCCGGTGCACAGAATTTGTGCATGGGTGAGGGGGAGGGGAGGTGTCCCTCAGCCCAGCCTGCACCCTCTCCAATCTGGGACACCTCCAGGGGTGTCCGACTGTCCTAGTAGGATCAGGCCTAAACGGGCAGTCGGACACCCCTCTCATAATCCAGGAGTGCTGGCTCCCAACTGCTCGCCTGCCTGCCTTCCTGATTGCCCCTAACCACTTCTGCCTGCCAGCCTGATCACCCCCGAATCACTCCCCTGGCAGCCTGATTGATGCCTAACTGCCCTCCACTGCAGGCCTGGTCACCGCTAACTGCCCTCCCCTGCAGGCCTGATCCCTCCCAATTGCCCTCTCCTGTTGGCCATCTTGTGGTGGCCATCTTGTGTCACCATGGGGGCAGACATCTTGTGTGTTGGAGTGATGATCAATTTGCATATTACTCTTTTCTTAGATAGGATTATGTAAGCATGTAAAACTACAGTACTAAGCAGTTAGTATGCATATGGACTACATGCTATAAAGTTGCACATATTTCTTAGTAGACATATAGAGAGATATAGCTATAGATACAGATATAGGTATAGATACGTAGAATAGCGTATCCTATACCAGGGCTGAGCTCAGTGCCTGGCACACAATAGGTGCCCGATATATAGGTGATCAGTGGCTGAGTGAATGGCTGGCTGATTGAGTGAGTGAGCGAGCAATGTGACCCTGGGCTCCCGCACGGCAGTTCTGAGTCAGGACCCTCCCTGCTGAGACGGAGCGAGGCGAGGGCTTGACAAACGATACAGGCGGGTGTGAGGGCTCGGCATGGGGAGCCGGAGACCCCGCGCTCCTCCCCTGACCCCGCGCCCGGACTCACGTCGATGGGCACGCTGTCGTACAGGCGCTTGCCAAGGACCGTCTTGCCCTGGATGTCGATGTTCTCCCTCTCCTCCAGGGGCAGCGTCTGCACCAGCGCGCAGTCGATGTACAGCGAGGCGCTCTGGGCCTGCACGCTCAGCGCCAGCTTGTGCCAGTCCCGGTCAAACAGGTCGTCCACCCGGGCGCCGCGGAAGACCACCCTGACGGCGTCCTCCAGGGCGCCCACGGCGTTGTACTCGACCGCCTTGTTCTCGCCGTCCAGCCGGAGGGACACCTGGGGGACCAGAGGCTCCGTGGGGCCGGCGGGCGGGAGGGGCCTTCCTCTCTCCCGGCCCGGGAGCCTCGGGCACGTGTCAGTCCCCTGCCAGCACCTCCTGTCCGGTGTGAACCCGGAAAACCACAGGCCCTGGCTCATAACACTTCGGACCCTTTCCATGACCTGAAGCTGGTTTCCCAGGTCGGGGCCCGTGTCCTCGACTCCCCCCCCCCCGGGGGGCTTCCTGAGAACACGGGGCTCCCCTCCAGGGCTCCGTTCTTCCAGCAGGCGCTCATCGGGGTGGGGGAGGGTGGCGGACCCGAGGCCTGAGCCTACCAGCCCTGGCTGGAGCCCCAGGGGCCCTTCACGGCTCAGACCCATCGCAAATCCCGATGGTTTTATCTGCATCCACCAAGGCAGGCCCCGTCCCCACAGGCACTCCCCTCCCGGGGGCAGGTCATAGTCCCCCTGTCTCCCGGCTGCCCATCTCCCGGGGCCTGGTCTCCAACAAGACCCTAACCTGCCCACCTGGCCAGGGTCCGTGGCCGCCCCTCTAACTGCCCGCACACTGCCCTCCACCCAGCCTCCTGCCCGCCCCCGCATCGGGTCGGAATGAGTGACTTCCCTCAGTTCCTCCCAGCGGCAAGGGACGCCAGCGTGCCGGGTGGCCGTCCGCATGGCCAGTGTAGGACCAGGCATCCGAAAGCCTCCGTGAGCAGGTGGGTAAAGGCTAAGGGCATGGGCGGCCGGGGACCCATCCTGCTCAGTGTCCCAGGGCCTCCCAGGGCACGGAGGTGCCCATCACACTGCCAGCGGCCGCAGCCGCCAAGGCTGCCCCGTGACGGTGAGCTGCCAGGCGCCCGGGGAGAATGGCCTGGGGTCCTGGCAGGCGGCTCGGCCTCCGCTGGTTCACCTCACAGCATCCTGGTGCGGCCGGCAGCTGCGGGAGCAGGCGCAGCGGGAGCACGGGCTCTGCAAACCTCATAAAGGACGTGGACCCAGACTGCGGGGGAGGCGGCTGGCCACAGGAATGTCGTGGCCGGCGCCCAGCCCGTGGCCGAGACCCTGGGAACCGGAGAAGAGGACCGGGTGCTGGCAGGCGAGGGTGAGGGTCAGCACGAGCTGCCTGCTCTCCAGAAGGGCCCCAGGGGAGTGGGGGGGGGGGGGGGGGGGGACTCTGGTCCCTGCACGCTGCTCCCACTTGAAGAAATTGGGCCACGAGCAGGCAGCCCGAGGAAGCCCCTGGTGGCGTGACCAGGCCCGAGACAGAAACATCGGGACCAACTCGAGAGACAGAGCCACCAAACAGGGTGGAGAAGAGACAGCCGTGGGGCTGACTGCCTGGGTTCAAATCCCACCGCCCCTCGCGTCACCTTAAAGCGGCAGGCACGTGCCCACCCTCACTGTGGCCAGTGCCCTCCCTTGAGATGGTCCAGCAGGTCACTCACGGGGCGGTGATGAGGACTGAGTGGGCTGGGATGTGGGACACCCTCAGGACCACCCCCGGCTCCTGCCAAGTGTGCACACGTGTGGGTGAGTGTGTGTGGGTGAGCAGGTGGAGAGGAGCCCATGTGGTGAGCAGGTGGCTCCAGGTCAGGGTCGGGAAGCCCGTCTCCACGCGAGGGCCCGCGCGGCCTCGGTGCTAATGAAATCCGAGCGGAAGTACAGTTGGCGCCCCCCCCCAGGCAGCCCTGTCTCCCTTCACCCGGATCCGGTTCAGGAAAGAGCAGGGCGAACACAGACAGGCGGGCCGCGGACCGGAAGCCGCCTGGGCCTCGGCAGAGCGCGAAGCAGAGCCGCCTCTCACCTGGCGCCTGGTGGCTGCCCTGGAGGAGCCCCCCAGGGACCGAGCCCGAGCACCAGGCGGGCGGCCCCCTCCCTGCCTCACGCTGTGCCGGGCGGGGGCCTGTGTCCAGTTCACAGCCAAGAACCCCAAGAGGCAGCGGACCGCGTCTCCGGCCACACAGGCACAGATGGAGCCTGGGTCCTCCTTCTTCTCCGTCCCAGCCCGGCTCCGGCCGCGAGCACACGGGTGCCACCGGCCAGAGCTGCTGCCGGGCCTGCGGGGGCGGGTCCTCGCCCCACCGAGAGCCAGCGTGCTCCCCTCCCCGGGGGAAGCGGTGCCTCTCTGAGCGGGGAACCCCCCCTCCCCGGGCGCCCTGGCCCTCAGGGGCCGGCCAGGCCCAGCACAGAGGCCGGAGGCAGGGGCCGGCCGCGCACCTGCGGGATGCCGTACTGGTCGATGACCTGCCAGATGTACCAGTCCTCTCTCCGCGAGCTCTTCCGGAAGCGGAAGGTGGTGACGAAGGCGTACTCGTCCGGCAGGCCTTGGGGGAACACGTCCCTGGAGGGGCGGGGGGGGCGGAGACAGACAGTGATGCCCACAAGGCCCAGCGACCAGACAGGAGCTGCCCAGGGCGGCCACGCAGCCTGGTCACTAAGCCCTGCCCACTGAGCCTCCTGAACACTTCCCACCCCACTGCCCCTCCCCACTTCCTACCTCCTCCGGCGCGGCCCTCTGAGACCTTCCTGTGGCCCCTCCACTGGCCCCTTCAAACCCACCCACAGTGCTCCCCTCTCCCCAGGGCCACCGCCCCTGACGCCGTCCAGGCCACACTCCCTGCTGTCCTGGCCCCCTGCCCCTGCACCAGGTCATCCCCCCGCTCCACAGAGCCCAGGGTTCCCGTGGGCGTGGGAGCAGCCCCCAATGGGGGGTCCCCAGCTCCCTGCAGCTCCCCTCCCCATCCAGAATGGAGGGGTCCCTCACAAGGAGTGCTGAGGGCGTCCGGACCGCTCTCCGCTGGGGCAGCCAGGCTGGGAGGGGGAGCTCCCTGTGTGGCCGGACCAAGTCAGGCAAAGTTACACCGAGGCCGAGGGCCGGGGTCTCAGAGCTCGCCGCCCCTCAGCTGCCTACGCCCCCCCTCCCTGCACACCGGGGCCGCGGCTGCCTGGGGGCGCACTGGGCCTTGGCTTCCCCGCTAGCCGTCTGGCCAGAGAGCCAGCCGAGAGGGGAAGTGAGGAGGCGGCTGGGTTCCTGGTTCTCAGACGGCAGACCCTCAGGGACCCCGGCTTGGCGCAGCCCGGCCTCGCTGTCCGGTTCCCGTGCACAGATCTGAGCTGGGGTGGCAGCTGTTCCAAGTCCCGTCTGAGCCGGTTTCCCAGGCCCACGCTGGGCACCGGAGCAGGCGGGCTCAGCGCCCGGGCCGCCCCCGGACCGGGGACCCTGAAGCCGTGGCCTGGACTCCCTCTGTCCGCACACACTGGCTCTGAGGCCAGAGCCCACCTCACCTCACTTCCTCCACATTCATTCCTGAGTCCAACTGGCCTGTTGTTGCCTACACACACTTCCCTCTTAGACCTTTGAGAGAACACATGTGTGTGTGTGTGTGTGTGTGTGTGTGTGTATAGGGATATCTCTCTATATGCTATATATTACTCTACCTATATATTTATGCCATAGATATCTATACTACATCTACATCTGTTTCTATTTATCTATATCTACAAAGTGGAATTAAGCCTTTCCTTAGGACATATATACACACCTATTACATATATATATATATATATATACATATATATATATATTACATAGGCACACACATATACTACATATACACTGAGTGGCCAGATTATTATGATCTCTGAACCCATAATAATCTGGCCACTCTGTGTGTGTGTGTGGTGTGTGTGTGTGTGTGTGTGTATTGGAGGCCTGGTGCATGAATTTGTGCATGGGTGGAGTCTGGCCAGCCTGGCCAGGGGGAGGGGTCATGGGCAATTGGCCGGCCTGCCTGCTGGTCGAACTCCTGGACAAGGGGACAATTTGCATATTAGCCTTTTATTCTATAGGATATACACTGAGTGGCCAGATTACTATGTGTTCAGAGATCGTAGTGATCTGGCCCCTCAGTGTATATACACACACGTGTGCTACACGTGTATACATGGAAAAACGAGGGAAGTTATTACAGTGCGGACGGGAAAGGTGGTTGGCGGCGGCTGTCCTCAGGAAGCAGAGGGGCCTGCCTCGCCCTCCCACAGCTGCCCGCAGGGGCGCTCACTCGGTCCGCTGCACCACGGGGAAGGACCCCATCCGCACGTAGGAGCTCTGCACCCCATCCTCATGCTGCCCCAGCACGTCCTTCACCCGGAACCGGTCCATCAGGTCAAACCCTGCGGGGAGGCGAGAGGGGGAGTCTGGAGAGAGGGGCGGAGACCCAGGAGCTGCCCCAGGCTCTGCAGAGGCAGCCTGCCTGCCCCTCCTCCGCCCCCCGGGAGTGAGGGGGCCTCCGAGGAGGACCCGGCAGGTACAAACTTGGGAGCAAACCAACTGCAGGGAGTAAGGTGAGGCCCAGCTCCCATTCCGATTCCCGTCCCAGGAAAATGCGGGGGGAGGGTTGGCCACCGGGCCTCCCACTGGAACCGGTGCCGTCAGAGCCCAGCTGGGCCGGGAGACCAGGGCAGTCGGAGGGGGCGGCCAGCAGGGCCCCCAGCGGGCAGTGATCAGCTGCGAGCACATTCGCTTCAAGGTGACGGAGTTAACGAGCGAACAGGCTGAGTCATCTCGTGCGTCAGACAAAGCAGATGGTGGTGGCAGGTCCCTGGGCACCGGGCAGGACCAGGTGCTGAGGTCAGGGCGGTGCTGATGGGGGGCGGGGGGGGGGTGACTCAGGGAAGGAAGCAGCTGGTAAGAGCGCGGGGCTGAGCCTGCAGCTGGATCCAATGGGGAAACTGGGAAATGAGGCCCAAGGGGTCTCTACATCAGTGGCCCCTGGCTGGCCTGGTCGGTGTGGCTCAGTGGGTGAGTGTTGACCTATGAACCAAGAGGTCACCGTCCGATTCCCAGTGGAGGCCCAGTCCCGGGGTGAGGGCTCAATCCCCGTTGTGGGGCGTGCAGGAGGCAGCCGATCGATGAATCTCTCTCATCACGGATGTTCCTCGCGCTCTCTCCCTCTCCCTTCCTCTTTGACATCAGTACAAACATTAAAGAGAAACAGTCACTGGCGGCAGCTGCTCCTGAGGCTGCTCACCCTCCCTCTCCGCCCGGGGCTCCAGGCAGCACGCCGCCCCCTCCTCCGCACAGCCGGTGGGCACAGGCAGCACGGCTGAGCCCCTGAGGCCTCGGCAGCCCCCGACCTGGCAGCACCTGCATAGCACCCATCCTGATGGTCCCCGGCTCCCTGTCCAGAGGGGAGCCTGACCCAGGGCTGGACCCGAGGCGCAGTGGACTGGAGAGGGCGCCCAGGGGCCTGGGGAGGAGGGCGGGCTGCCATCCTGGGGGGGATGCCAGGCCACAGGAGGGAGGACGCTGGTGCTCCCCGCCATCAGGATGATGGGGAGCCGCCTGAGCCACCCGCCTGTCCCCGCACACCTGTCACCTCAGAGACAGCCTCTGAGGAGCGGCTGGCCCGTCCCTTTGTCCTCTCCCCATCGCTCCACGCACATAGTCACAGCTGTGACTCTCCGCCCCTCACCCTCAGCGCCTTGCACACTCCCTCCTGGGCCCTGCCCATCACTGTTATCATTCCCAGCGGTGACACCGCGTTCACGCTCACACCACGCAGGCACGCCCACGGGCCCCCAGCCCGCGGACACGGCAGTCTGGGCTGGCAGGCGGGTGTTGGCGGGCCTGACACCTGCACACTCAGACGGTCCCAGGGGTCTCTGGTTAACACAGGCCCGGCGGGGACGGCGAGGCCACCGGCGAAGGGAGAGCGTATGCAGGCCCGGCCGGGACGGCAGCAGCTCTCCCACGGGCGCCCTCTCACCTGTGATCTCCTTGGTGCCGCCGTTGGTGTGCTTGAAGCGGTGTCCCTCCACGCTGACGCTGGGGCACAGCACGTCTGAGGAGCAAGAGCAGACAGTGAGCGAGGGCAGCCAGACCCTCCGGGAACGAGACCTCACAGGGATTCCGCGCCCCCCCTCCCCCAATCTCACAGCACGGAGGATCCCCCACCTCACAGCACGGAGGGCCACACGGACCCCCACCTCACAGCCCGGAGGGTTCAGCGCCTGGAGCAGATGCACGTGTGAAGGGGGCCCCGGCCCCACCCGGGAGGAGCCCAGAGGGTCTGCCGAGAGAGGGAGCCCGACACCAAACCCAGAGGGCCAGGTGACACAGGGCAGGCGAGGGCATGGGTGCTGGGGGCCCAGGGCCTCCGCGGGAGGCGAGGCTGGAGGTTCCAGTGAGGAGCAGGGAGGCTGAGCCAGACGCATGGACGCCGCAGGGGAGCCTCCCTGAGAAAGGCGGACATTGGACGTGGAAAGCCAGGTCAGCGACGCCCCCAGTCCACGGTCCTCTGTGCCAGGGACCGAGCAGAAGGAGTCTCTCAGGCACCCAGAGAATGCCACACTGCTGGGCCGCACGAGGGCGAGTCACGCGATAAAATACACCAAGGACGGGCGTTCCCTGAGCACACCGTGATCCTCGCGCACGGAAAGCAAGGGCGGAAAGGGCTGTCCGTCAGGGAGGGCACGACTGTGAGCCTGAGAGGCCTGGCTCCCAGTGTGGGCTCCCCGCCCGCCTCCTAAGCTCTGGGTCTGGGTGTGCGGTCGGTGCCCCCCAATCTCACAGCACGGAGGGCCACACAGACCCCCCACCTCACAGCACGGAGAGCCACACGGACCCCCACCTCACAGCACGGAGGGCCACATGGACCCCCATCTCACAGCACAGAGGGCCACACGGAGGGCCAGAGCACACGCGTGTCCCAGGGCTGCACTGCGGATGGGCGAGACCACGCCCAGGACAGGACTGGCTGGAAGGCAGGCCCTCCTAGCTCGAGGCAGCTTAGCGTGTACCGCCCATGAAGCAACCTGGCCACACGCGTTCTTGTTATAACCACACGTCACACCGCCAGGCACCTCCACATCCCATCCGCTCCACGCACCACCCCCTCTCCTCATCTTGGGGCACACGCGTGCGAGGGCGGGCAGGCGTGGGCCCCTGGCCCATCAGCAGTGAGGGGCACGAGGTGGGTCATTTTCTGGTCTGGGAGGAGCTGTTCTTTCATTTGTATTTTTCATCATCCTCAACGAGGATAGTTTCCATTGGTTTTAAGAGCAAGTAGAAGGGAAGGGGAGAGAGAGGAGAGAGAGAGAGAGAGAGAGAGAGAGAGAGAGAGAGAGAGAGAGAGAGAATGGTGGCCTCCCGCACACACCTGACCAGACCCGGGGATCGAGCCTGCAGCCAAGGCACCTGCCCTTGACCGGAATGGAACCGGGCCCCTTCAGTCCTCAAGCCCACGCTCTACCCACTGAGCCAGACAAGCCAGGGCGGGCAGAGCTATTTTCAATGTTGGCCCTAACAGGCACCGGGGGTCCGACGAGCCCCATGGAGGAAGGTATTCTGGACCCAGCACCGCGCGGTCTGTCTGGGACCTGGTCTGAGGGAGGTGGCCGGCGCTGGGCGATATTTAGACACTCCACCCGGGACGGTGGCAGCTGTGGGGCGGCGATCGGCGGCTTTCCCTCCGGCATCCGGCCAGAAGGACGGGCTGGGGAGCGTGAGTCATGAGAGGAGTCGACTCGGAGGTTCCTGCCTGGATGATGAGCGACCCCCAGGATTGGTGACTGGGGCTCGGCGGGGACAGAGCCACTGAGCCTGTCTCCGCGGGTATCCCAGGGGGACAGCCTAATTCTGAACCCCAACGGACAGGGACAGCTGAGGGCCCTGAAGGCAGAAAAAATAGTCTCCCCAAAGCGTCACACTTGCCCGATCGGCTCTTAAGAGCCAGACGCCCCAGGCCAGCTGCCGCCATCCTGGGTGGAGCATCTAAATATTGCCCAGGTTCCCTTTGGGGCCCTCACTAAGCCTCAGAGGCTCCAGGCGCCGTTTATAGCTGACTCCATGCAGCCAGGACACAGGGGCTCGAAATACCCCATCCAGCCGGCCCCCGGCCTGTGGGCCCGGGCTCACCTGCTTGGCGGGGAACCCCGTCCCTCTCAGCCATAACCGATCCCTCCGGCCCAGAGATCTCGGTGCTTGGGTAATGGCCTATTTATGTCTGCATTACCGCATCTCATTTATTCTAACCACATCCTCACAGGCTCGGGATACACCGGGACACACAGAGGGATGGCAGGCCGGGGCCGGGATGATGTGAATGATGATCGCCATCCTCAGGGCAGGTCCCGGCACCAGGACCCTGTCTGTCCTGCTGGGGGCGGAGCGGCCTCGGGACCAGCTGACAGACATGCAGACAGCCCGCTTGCACCAGCTGCTGATTACCTTAGCACTTAAGCCCGTGGTCGGCAAACTCATCAGTCCACAGAGCCAAATACCAACAGGACAACTGCTGAAATCTCTTTGGAGAGCCAATTTTTTTAAACTTAAACTTCTCCTAATGCCACTGCTTCAATACAGACTCGCCCAGGCCGTGGTGTTTTGTGGAAGAGCCACACTCAAGGGGCCAAAGAGCCACACGTGGCTCGCGAGCCACAGTTTGCTGACCACGGACCTAGAGCAGGCCAGTGTCTCCTCCTGCGGCTGAGTCCAGACCCAGGAACAGGTGTGCACATTGGTGGGGATGTTCCCCCATCCAGGGTCATCCTGAAGGTTAGATGGGAGAGGGGGCAGGGAGTTGTTGGCAGGACACTGGCATCGAACACATACCCATTAATTCATGTACTCAGGCTACACCCATCTGCCCAGTGCCCGGCACATACGTCCGGCGTGAGGAGAAAACACGCACACATGGCGAGGTGGCCCTGCCGACTCACCTGGTGCTCACGTGTCCAAGAGGGGGCAGAGGTCAGAGACAGACACAGGGAGCGAGCTGGTCTCCCGGGCTCAGGGCTGTGGGTGGAACCCGTGGCCAGGTAGGTGATGGGCGCTGGGGGTGGGTCCAGCTCCCACTCAGACTCACGGGTCTGGGAAAACCTCTCGGCTGAGCTGCACGAGCTGAGAGCTACGAGGGGCGTGAACCAGCAGGAGAAGAGCAAGCAGACAGCGGCTTCAGCCACGTCCCAGCCACAGCAGAGCCCTGCGGAGCGAAGGGCTGGCTTGCCCTGGGCCTGGGGGGAAGCCCCATCACCTGGCTGAGGGGAGAGGACAGGGAGGGGGTGCTGGGCCAGGGGCAGCCTGGTCCTCACCAGGAGGGTGTGGAATTCAGGGCAATGAAAGATGGCATGCCGGGTGCAAGGTGTGCTCTGGAGGCCGGGCAGAGGACAGTGGCAGGGACAGGTACGGTGTGATTGCCAATGTCCCCGTCCCTGGGACCCCTTTCCCTCCAGGGAGTGTCCACGGGCCAGGCACCAGCAGGGGCCACCGGAGACTGCAGGGGCCTCCGCGGGGAGGGGCTCCTGGCTCTGCCTGGCCAGCGGCCGGTGCAGACCGTGCTGGAGTCCCGGGCGTGGATGAGAGAGAGGGGAGACTCCAGACCCAGTCCTGGCCGCCAGCAGGAATGCTGGGAGGCGAAGAGGACACGGCAGAGGAGGCGGCAGGTGGACTGGGAACCCGAGGGCGAGGGGGCGGAGTCCATGGGGTGAGGGCGTGTCTCCCAGCCCCGAACTCTGCCCCAGAGCTCTGCCCGCGGCCTGATGCCAACGCTCATCTCAGCAGCGCCCCCCACAAGCGGCTCTGAGCTTCCTCCCCCGTCCCGCGGGCTCCGGGCTCGGGGGGACCCTGTGCAGCACCCCGGGTTCTAAACCCCCTGGGGTGTGCTCAGTCCAGGAACACAATCCACTCTGCTGGCCGCCCTCCAGGTCCCGTGGGGATCAGTCCACAGACAGCACGGGAGCCAGCCCCGGTCCCAGCCACCCCGACCTCTCACCGCCCCCTTCGGCTCCTGTCCGTTCCCCCGGGGCCCAGGCTGCGGGGGGAGGTCACGGCGCCCAGTCTGCCCGCGGTCACCCATGAACCCCGAGCTTCCGGGGATCACGGGGAGGGGAGCCCCAAGGACTTCACAGGAGGGGCAGGTGCCGGGCCGGGAGGACGGGGCACCCATGCAGGGAGGGAGGACCTCCTTCTTCCCACCCGATGGGTCCCCCGCGGGCAGGTGGCGATGAGACGGCAAAGGACGCCCACAGGAGGCTGCCGGGCCTCTCCTGCCCTCGGCGCGGACACGGCCGTCCACGGCAGGAGAGAAGGTCCCAAGGCCGTGAGCAAGGCGGGCTGCTGGGGGCAGCGCTGTCCCTAAGTCACCCTGTGGCCACAAACCATCCCCCTCCCCGCCCCTCAGCCTCAGAAAAGCAGGCCTGGCTGCAAAGCCCAGCAGGCCTGGGGGGCGGGGGCGGGAGGGAAGGGGCCCATCCCTGCCTCCGCCAGCAGCCTGTGGTTCTCGGGGGAGATGGCAAACAAGATACGGGGCTATTTATTTTTTCTGCCCGCGGCCACATTCTCTCCATCAGCACGTGGCCTGGGACCAGACGTATCTGTAGGCAGGCTCGGGGTCGTGTCCCCAGAACCAGAGCACCCGCGGCAAAGGCAGGCCCCAGGAATAGCAGACCGAGCTCCCCATCCCCCACCCCCACCCCGGGGAGCGGGCAGGGCCAGGCTCTGCCCTCCGATGCCTCGGGCAGCAAGGCCAGGGCCGGCCACTGGTCCAGGGGGCCGGCTGCCCTGCCCCTGTCTGCTCTCCCCTCTGAGGCTGGAGGAGGTGGGCGCTGGATTGGCCACGGGCTGCATTCCCGAGGGGCTGGCAGGCTGAGGGCTGGGGGGCACGGCCAGATGTCAATGGGGAGCATCTGGGCCCCCTGCTCCTTCCCTGGCAGATGCCGCTGGTCCGGCAGGGCCGAGGCCGGGGGAGCGGGAGGCGCACGCCCTGGGAGGAAGGCCACTGCCCAGGGGCTCCCGCGGGCACAGCCCTGCTCTGGCCCTGAATGCCTGTCTTGCAGCCCACCCGGAGCCCAAGGCGGGATTTGGGGTCAGAGGCAGGACGGGGTTTCAAGAAAACACCCCCCACCCAGGACTTCCCCTCCTGCTGACAGGCCCCCTCAGGCGCCCCCAGCACGGTCAGTACCGAGGCCGAGGACCCAAGCCTCCCCATGCCTGTGAGACTGGTGTGCATAAGAACCGTTCTTAGGAACAAACAAATAAACAACGCCGGCCCAGGTGCCTGTCCCGCAGCCAGGCGGCCGGTCAGGTTCCCTGTGCAGCCGGGCCTCACTGGTGCAGCGGCCGCCTCAGTGCACCAGCTTCACACGGGCTGCCCGGGGGCGGGGTGGGGCTGAGGGAGGCATGTGCACACGCATGCACCTACGGTGTGCACGCCTGGGCATGCGTGAGTGTGTCCCGCCCGGGGTGTTGGAGCGGACACCCGTGTCTGTGTTGGTGTGAGCGTGCGTGTGTGTGGGTTTGCACCTGTGTCCAGTGGGGACACACGCAGAGACCAGGGTCGCTCATTAGGACAAGGACGGGCATGCTTCACAGTCAAACGTCGCCTGAGCAGCCGTGGCCACAGCTGGAGCCCTCGGCCTTCCGGGAAGGGCCAGGCGGGCCCAGCCACACGTCTCGGAAAGCCCCGACCTGCTGTGCCGCCCTGAGCCCCCCGACAAGGGTGAAACGCGCTCAGTAGCACAAGGGCAGCCGCAGGGCGGGAGGCGCTCAGACACGCAGCCTTCCTCTCGGAGTAATTACAAGGAGCTGTATTTATAGCCGTCGGTTTATACAGATTGCGTGTGTGTACACACGCTTTTTGCAAGTACCAATTTGGTGGCGGCCACTCTATTCCGTCCCTTTATCTGCCGAGCACGGAGGCCAGCGTGGGAAACACACAGCCAGAGCCGGGAGCCGGGACGCGTGGCAGGGCACTGTCCGGTGGCAGAGGCCGCGGGCCGCGGGGAGAGCTGAGGAAGTGAGGGCCGTGCCCACAGCCGAGTGGGACACGCTCCTACAGTGAGACGGGCCCTGGACAGGCCTGGTCCGCAGAGGGCAGTGCCCGTCCCGAGGGCTGAGGCGGAAGCCCGGGCTCTGTGCCTGGCCCTGCCGTCTGGGCTCCGGGTCACCGCCAGGCTCGGCCTGGCTGCCAGAGCCCTCGCCTGTAAACAAATTAAAGGGGAATTACGGGTGTTTTCGGTCAGCGTCTAATGAAATTTCTCAGCTCGTCACCGGCGTTCAGAGGCCGATGACTGTGCAGGGTGACCTCGGCATGGCCAGCTGTTCCCGGCGGCGCTCCCAGGCCCGGGTGGAGGGCGCCTCGCCTGCACCGCCTCCTGAGGCCGCCGGCCCGCCGGCCGAGCAGACACCACGTGGCGCTCCCAGCCACAGCCCTGCCGCTGCCGCTGCCCGTCCGCCCGGGGGGGGGGGGGGGGGGTCACCTCAAGGCCACATGCATATTCCCACTGTGTGTGCGTGTGAGTGTGTGCGTGTGAGAAAATGTGTGTGCGTGTGTGTGAGTGTGTGAGTGTGTGAGTGTGAGTGTGTGCATGTGTGTGTGTGAGTGTGTGCGTGTGAGTGTGAGTGTGTGTGTGTGAGTGTGTGAGTGTGAGTGTGTGTGTGTGAGAGTGTGTGTGTGTGTGTACGTGTGTGTGTGAGTGTGTGTGTGTGAGTGTGTGCATGTGTGTGTGTGCGGTGTGTGTGTGAGTGAGTGTGTGTGTGTGAGTGTGTGAGTGTGAGTGTGTGTGTGTGTGAGAGTGTGTGATTGTGTGTGTGAGTGTGTGAGTGTGAGTGTGTGTGTAAGTGTGAGTGTGTGTGTGAGTGTGAGTGTGTGTGTGAGTGTGTGTGTGTGAGTGTGTGTGTGAGTGTGTGTGTGTGTGTGTGTGTGTGCCCGGAGTTCACTGCAGAGGCCCCAGCGGCGGAGGGACAGGAGGACAGGGCAGGAGTGTCGGGAAGAGGACTGTGTGCTCACTTCTGTGCGGAGGGGCTGGGCTCACAGAGCGGAGACTGAGGCCGCCCGAATCCAAATGCAGACCCCGTTTCCCAAGAGCAAACATCCATCTACCCAACGGGCACACTCCCTGTCTCTGTCTGTCTCTGTCTCTCTCTGTCTCTCTCTGTCTCTGTCTCAGTCTCTATCTCTGTCTCTCTCTGTCTCTCTCTGTCTGTCTCTGTCTCTGTCCCACCACGGTGGAGCAGTGTCCAGGTCCCAGCTCTCCCGGGAGCAGGCGGAAGCTGGCGGTGACCACATCGGCAGAGACGCGGGGTGACCCTGTGCCAGGAGGCAGAGCCCAGAAGGACGGGGCGGCTCCTCCCTGGCTCATCCCGCTGACCTCTCAGCCCGTGTCCAGGAGCCAACGGGCAGGAAGGGCCGTGTCCCTGGCCGTGGGAGCGGGGACCACCACAGGCCCTGGAAATAGCAGTGGGCGGGGCTCTCGCGGGGCTGGCACCGCAGGCTGGCTCGGCGGCCCGGGGAGCTATATCCAGCTGCCCCGTGGCCACGCAGAGCGGGCGAAGCTCCTAATTACAGGCGGTGTTCTGGGCCCGCCCGCCCCCCGCGCTGCAGGGAGCGGCTGGTGGAGTCCCCGGGGACCATGTCAGGCCACCGGGAGGTGCGCAGGGGCAACTGGGGTTCGCTCCTTCCAGAGCCCGGGCGGGGTGGACACAGGCCACCGCTGTCCCCCCAGGCCTGGAGCTGAGGCCTCACCCAACCTGGCCACATGGCCTCTCCATGCTCAAGAGGCCCCACGCCCTTAGGAGGGAGCACCACAGCACCATCCTCCAGCCCCGCACCCCCTACCCCCTCCGCAGCCCTCAACCCCACCACAGCCTGCACCCCTCCCCATCCCTCCGCCCCAGCAGCCTGCACCCCTCCCCATCCCTCCACCCCAGCAGCCTGCACCCCTCTGCAGCCCTCCACCCCCTCCCTCTGCAGCCTGCACCCATCCCCATCCCTCCGCCCCCTCCCTCTGCAGCCTGCACCCCTCCCCATCCCTCCGCCCCCTCCCTCTGCAGCCTGTACCCCTCCCCATCCCTCCGCCCCCTCCCTCTGCAGCCTGCACCCCTCCCCATCCCTCCGCCCCAGCAGCCTGCACCCCTCCCCATCCCTCCGCCCCAGCAGCCTGCACCCCTCCCCATCCCTCCGCCCCAGCAGCCTGCACCCCTCCCCATCCCTCCGCCCCAGCAGCCTGCACCCCTCCCCATCCTTCCGCCCCAGCAGCCTGCACCCCTCCCTCCGCCCCAGCAGCCTGCACCCCGGGGGCAGGCGCGGACTCACTCTCGCACAGGCGGCGCCGCAGCTTGCCCCGGATGCGGTCGATGGCGTCGAAGTCGGACACGTGGAAGACGTGGGCGGACGTGGGCCGCGAGGCGATCTCCTCCAGCTCCTCCCGCAGCGCCTCCCCGACGCCCACGGCGAAGACGCGGATGCCGGCCCGGTGCGCGGCGGCCGCGGCCTCCTGCACCAGGTCCTGGCTGCGGCCGTCCGTGAGCAGGATGGCCACCTGCTGGACGGCGCGGTCGCCCGGCCGGCCGCCGGCCCGCGGCGAGAAGCTGTGGCGCGTGATGTAGCGCAGCGCGTCGCCCGTGCGGGTGTGGCCGCCCTGGAAGGCCAGCGCCCGCGCGGCCGCCTTCACCGCCGCCCGCGACTGGGGGCGGCCCAGCTCGAAGGCCGTGGCGGGCCGGTCGCTGTAGTGCACCACGCCCACGCGGGTGTGCGCCGGCCCCACCTCGAAGGTGTCCACCAGGTGGGCCACCCACTGCTGCACCTTCTGGAAGTCCCCACGGCCCACGCTGGAGGACGTGTCCAGCAGGAACACCAGGTCGTACTGGACGCTCTTGCAACCTGCAGGGGCCACAGGGGGGGGTGTCAGGGGGCCGTGGGGGCCTGGGGGGGGTCCCTGGGTCACACCACCTGCCTCAGGCCCGCCGCCGCCCGCTCTGAGCCCACGGGCAGGGCCTGGGCCAGCGGCCTGAGAGTGACACCTCCGTTGCCCGTCACACAGTCATGCGTGTCCCCACGGCCGCTGGGAGGCTCGGTGGACGATGTATGCTCTTTCAGGACAGTGGCCAGCGTTCATGAAACACCACTGGGCCCACGTCCCTAACAACGTGGTTAAGGCGACTTCGTTCATTTTTAAACCTGCCTCAAAAAAGTGCATGCCCAGCCGAAACCAGTTTGGCTCAGTGGGTAGAGCATTGGCCTGCGGACTGAAAGGTCTCAGGTTGGATTCGGTCAAGGGCATGTTCCGGTTAGGGGTGTGCAAGAGGCAGCTGATTGATGATTCTCTCTCATCGATGTTTCTGGCTCTCTATCCCTCTCTCTTCCTCTCTAAAATCAATAAAATATATTATCAACATCTAAAATCAATAAAATATATATATATATATATATATATATTTTTTTTTTTTAAAGCGTGCATGCGCAGCTCAGAGACGCCCGGAAAGGCCATCAAAAAAGGCTTGAACCACTCACGTGCCCGTCTGCGGGGACACGGTGAGCTGCCTGGCATCGACCTGATCGCTGTGCATTCATTTCCGGATGGTTGTGGATGGGAGGGGGGCTGGACCAGACACGCTGACTGGCAAGCTGTTTTCCCTGCATCCAGCAAGGTGCTGGGAACCCGCCTTCAGCGGAGAATACCCGTTTCCATGGCGATGGAGCATCCGCGGCAAGGATGAGCATAATTTATTTAGCGGGCGCTCCTCCCTCCGTGGGCACTGGGAGAGTTCCCTGCCCTCGCCATCGGAAAGCACAGGAAACGCACTGTGTTCATACACCGTCAATGCGGACTCGCGGAATTCTATAAAGCCTTGTAAAAACGTGCTCACATCTGTGCTATGTGTACAAATACAGATTTCCTGTGAACGATACAATGCTTTGGACTAAACACCAAAAAGCATTCTTTCTGGTCTTCGCAGCGACAAGGGCAGACACGCTGATCACCCCCATTTCAAACGAGAGGGCAGGAGGGAGGTGTTTTCTGAGCCCCAAAGTGCTGCGCGCGCGCGCACACACACACACACACACACACACACACACACACACACGGGAGCCATCGAGAAGCCCGGCCTCGCCAGCCAGCCTGGCTCAGCGGGTGAGCAACAGCCTAGGAACCAGGAGGTCAAGGTTTGATTCCCTGTCAGGCTTGATTCCCAGTGGGGGCATGCAGGAGGCAGCCCATCAATTATTCACTCGCACTGATACCTCTCTCCCTCTCTCTCTCTCTCTCTCTCTCTCTCTCTCTCTCTCTCTCTCCCCCCCCCCCCCATCCCTTCCTCTGAAATCAATAAAAAGCTTTGTTTGTTTTTAAGAAGCCTGGTCTTTCCTCTCCTAGAACCTGAGGCGTGGGCCTGCCAGAGCAGCCGCTGACCACGCCTCTGAGGACGGAAAGCGCTGCAGAGAATAAAGCGGGGCAGAGAGGACGTGTTGTGCTCAGAGGCCTCTTGCAGAAAGGTGCAGCCAGGTCACCAGAAGACGCCGGCCTGGGAGCAGCCACGGGCCGGCCGGACCCTCACGGCGGCGGGCGGCGGCGGCCGGCAGAGATTTACAGGAATCGGTGCACCCAGGTAAAAGCTTCCTCTGTCACGTTATGGCCCCGCGTCCTAGCGGCCCCAGCCCAGGCAGAGCCTGTCACGATCCTTGAGCGAGCTTGTCTGAAAGCTGCAGAAAGGAGCCTGGGAGCTCTCCGCACATCTCCTCCGCGGCCAGGGAGCTGCCCGGGGGGCAGGCTCGTGAGAGGTGAGTATGACGTCTGAGCCACGGCCCTGGCTCTGGGGCTGGTGCCTGGCTTCTGGCCTCTGTTCCGGGACAGGGGAAGGCCATGTGACCCCCCTCAGGTCACGGCCTTTCCCTCCAGCCTCATTCTCTACCTGTGAGATGGGAACTGTCCTCAGCCTGCCCACGTGTGACCTGGAGGACCCCGTGTGTGAACTGCCCACCGGGAGCCTCGGTGGACACACATCGCGGACCCGCCCGGAGCCCAGGAGGCCAGGGCATCGCTGCCTCTCCCCGAGCGGGGCTCGGAGAGGCGCGGCAAAGTGAAACACAGGGGAAGGCTTCGTGGCAGATACTGAGCCTTCAGGCGTGGGGGCTTCCTTGTTTTTCATTCCGTCTCCGGCAGCTGCAGAGAAATAGCTGGGCCTCTGGCCAGCTCCGAGCTCCCGGCCTCACCGCACAGGCCTTTGCCTCTGCACCTGGTTCTCACCGCAAAATGGGCGCCAGCTGTACGTGGGGGAGTGTGTGGCTTTACGTGGGCACCGAGCTTTGCGTGGGGGAGGATGATGTGGAGTGGGGCTTCGCGGGGCGGGGCTTTGTGAGGGGCGGGGCTTTACATGGGGCGGGGCTTTACATGGGGCGGGGCTTTGTAGGCAGGTGCTTCGCGTGGGGCGGGGCTTTATGCCCAGTGAGCTGGCGCCCAGTGCTCCCGCTGGCCCTGCGCCTCCGCACCCCAGAGTCTTCCTCCCAGAGGCCCTGGCAGGGAACAGGTGAGCAGAGCCATCGCCAGGCCCCCTCCCCAGCCCACCTGCCCAGCTTCCTCTTCTCCGTCCCTGTTCCCGCTTCCTTCAGCCACTGCAGACCCCTCTGGCCGGGCCCAGTGTGTCCATGTCCCCTGGAATGGCGGCAGCGCCTTCGCAGGACACGACCACACACAGCACTGCCTGCTGCCCCTACCCTGACAAGCATTTGAGAGGGACAAGCTCAGGACTGTTCTCTGATTCACTCAAAACGGGTCCAGACAGCTCATTCTTTTCTCAGCACACACACACTCACACACACACACACACACACACACACACACACAATCACACTCACACACACTCACACACTCACACACACTCACATACACACACACATTCACACAATCACACTCACTCACATACACACACACACTCACACACACTCATACACACACGCACACTCACACACAGGCACACGCCCTTGCTGATAAGTGACTGTTACACCCGTTGGCTATCCCGCACACAGTCACCAGCCCTCTGGGGGCACACCCTGCCCCCCCGCCCGGGCGAGCACGCGGACAGGCCCGCACAGCCCCCGGCCCACCTGCCCTCTGGGCCCGGCCGCCGCGGCCCCCGCCCCACAGCAGCAGCAGCAGCGGCAGCAGCAGGCCGGCCATGGCTCCGCCGGGCTGGGGCTCAGCGTGGCTCCGCCAGGAAGAGGCCTCTCGGTTCACCGCGGCATCTCCTGTGGAGAGAGACACGGTGAGCGGCGGCCTCTGGCCGAGACCCCGCAGAAGCAACCTCTGAGCCCAGGAGGAGGAATCCCCGACCCGGGCGCCTGCGCGGCTCCCCTCCTCAGACCGACCTCTCCGCCAGCCGTGCGACCTCCCTTCACTGCTTCCCTCCGCCCCGGCCCCTCCATCCTGGCTCACCTGCACAGGCCCACCTGCCCCCACCACTGGCCGCCCCGGCTGCCCGGGGCCCGGCACCACGGCTGCGGTATTTTATACGTTTGGACGTGGAATGGCTATTTTGTTAGGTTTACGTGTTACGAGAGGACATCTGTGTGCCTGTCTTTGCCTGGACTGAGTTCTTTTCTCAGGCAGGCTGGCGGGAAATACTCAGGATGTCGTTTGAGTTCTGAAAGGATGCCGGTATGACCTGTCACAGTGTCTTACAGACTCTGTAATACAGAGAGTGCCTGGCTCCCGCCGCCTCCCGGCAGGCGTGTGCATGGGCCCCTCTCGCCTGAACCTGGCAGCACGGGTGTCATCACGCCTTCACCTGTGGCCACCTCGACAGGAGAGACACTGGTTCTTACTTTCCTTTATATATATATATATATATATATATATATATATATATATATATATATGTTATTGATTTTTTACAGAGAGGAAGGGAGAGGCGTAGAAAGTTAGAAACATGGATCAGCTGCCTCCTGCACAGTCCCCACTAGTTCTGTGCCTGCAACCAAGGTCCATGCCCTTGGCCGGAATTGAACCTGGGACCTTGGGTCTGCAGGCTGACACTCTATCCACTGAGCCAAACGGCTTAGGGCTATGGTTCTCACTTTCTATGCGTTTCTTTGACCCATGATGTTTATTAGCTAAGTGTATTTTCCTCTCTCTGTAGTTTCATGTCCTTTTCAAAAAGTACTTGGCGTTATTCATGCACGATCCAGGAAAGGAAAGACGGTTTATAGAGTTCACAGTTAATTTTTTCACTTAATAGGTGTTTACCAGTGGCCTCCGGTGCCTGAGGCTTAGGGTAGCCCAGTGAAGGACACCGAATCCACCCTCGAGGGCACTCCCTGGCACCTGGGAGACAGGTGAGACTTGGCCCGAGGAAGGCGGATGAAATGAGTGCAGGTAGAGCGAAGGGCAAAGGCTTATGGGAGCACTTGGGCTGGGGGGGAGGGGGAGATCACATGATCATTTTGCAGGAAGGTCTGGCTTCCTGAACCAGCACCAGCCAAGCCGAGCTGAAAGGCATTCCTTGGCTCACGGCCCCTCCTCATCGTCAAAGCCCGCCGTGGCCAGTCAGGTCTTTCTCGGGTTGCAGTCTCTCTGAGACCCGCGAGGACGCTGTGATGACGTGAGCTCGCCAGGTGCTGCAGGTGAGTCTCCATTTTTAAAGTCGGATTGCTAGCCGAAGCCGGTTTGGCTCAGTGGTAGAGCGTCGGTCTGCAGACTGAAAGGTCCCAGGTTCGATTCCAGTCAAGGGCATGTACATTGGTTGCGGGCACATCCCCGGTAGGGGGTGTGCAAGAGGCAGCTGGTCGATGTTTCTCTCTCATCGACGTTTCTAGCTCTCTCTATCCCTCTCCCTTTCTCTCTGTTAAAAAACTATAAAGGGGTGGTCACCGCCGACGCCACTCAGGACGGTGGGCCTTGCGTGGGACCAGGGACTCCACGGTGGTATGGTTTGAGAGAACCATAGCCCTAAGCCGTTTGGCTCAGTGGATAGAGTGTCAGCCTGCAGACCCAAGGTCCCAGGTTCAATTCCGGCCAAGGGCATGGACCTTGGTTGCAGGCACAGAACTAGTGGGGACTGTGCAGGAGGCAGCTGATCCATGTTTCTAACTTTCTACGCCTCTCCCTTCCTCTCTGTAAAAAATCAATAACATATATATATATATATATATATATATATATAAAGGAAAGTAAGAACCAGTGTCTCTCCTGTCGAGGTGGCCATAGGTGAAGGCGTGATGACACCCGTGCTGCCAGGTTCAGGCGAGAGGGGCCCATGCACACGCCTGCCGGGAGGCGGCGGGAGCCAGGCACTCAAAAATATATTAAAGTCGGATTGGTAGCAGCCTTAATTCCACCTGTCACTTAAGTCTCCCCGATGGGTAACTGAGCTGATTCACGGGGACTGGGGCACGAGCCCCTTTTTTGTGCGGATGATGACAAATGTGTCACACCGGCTGTGTCATTTAGCTATTTTAAGTGTATCATCAATTCGGTGGCATAAGTTACATTTGTGATTCCAGGACTTTGTAATCACCCAGGGTGAAAGTCTGTAACCATCCTATATAATAAAAGGCTAATATGCAAATTGTTCCCTCACCTGGGGGTTAGACCAGGAGCGGGGGTTGGCTGGCCAACCGCCCATGGCCCCTCCCTCCATTAGCCCCATCCCCTGTCAACTCCCCCACCACCACCCAATCGGGGCTGGCTGGCCAGACCCCACCCGTGCACAAATTCTTGCACCAGGTTTCTAGTTAAGCAGTAACAGGAGGCCATTTCATTTACTTGGGTCTTCAATAATTTCTGTCAATGACGAGTTGTAGTTTTCAGTGTATAAGGCCTGTGTCTCCTTGGTTAAATTTATTCCTGAATATTTTTATATGCTTATTATAAATGGAATTATTTTCTTAATTGTCCTTTTTATAATTATTGACTGTTAGTGTATCGCATTTGCCACCGATTGTTGAGTGTTGATTTTGTATCCTGAAACGTGGCTGATTGGGGGTATTATCATAGCTTTCTGTGGATTCTTTAGCGTTTCCTACACATGGGACCACGTCTTCTGCGAATAGAGATAATTTGACTTCTTCCTTCCCAAGTTAATGCCTTTGCTTCTTTCTCCTGCCTCGTTGCCCATGGTGTGTAAGTTCTTCTTAGACATTAGCAGACTTGTATTGCTAATATTGTTGCGGATTTGTGCGTCTGTGTTCATGAGAGATGTGGGCCTGTCATTTCCTTTTGCTTGGACTGTTCTCTGGTTTGGGGACCAGGGGAACGCTGACCTCATAGACTGTGTTGGGAAATGCGCCCTGTGCCTCCCTCCGGGTTCTGGAAAAAACTATAAAGGGGTGGTCACCGCCGACGCCACTCAGGACGGTGGGCCTTGCGTGGGACCAGGGACTCCACGGTGGGTCAGGGAGCATCACCGCCCCCTGGAAGGAGGTGACCTGAAAGGGGGGTGCAGTGAGGGTCATAGAAGGTCGTTTCTGCAAAGCAGGCAGGACAGACCGGACGCACAGTCAACGGGAGGCCTTTGGCAGCCCCTACAAACGGCCGCGGGCACCATCGCTCTCCCGCTGCCTCCCCAGGCCCCGAGCGCTGTCGGAGCCCGGCCACCCAGCTGGCATGACGGGGGCCGCACCCTGTCCTCGGAGGCCGCGCTCTGCCCTCCGACCCCAGCGCCCAGCAGTTAATTTGCGAAGCCGCGTTCCTTCCACAAGCCAGCCCGTCGCCATGGTAACCAGCATTCCCTCTCAGGGGCCCACAGGTGGGGGGGGGGGGGGGAGGCGCGGAGCAGAAAGCAATTTGGGGGGAGAAAATGAGATTTGGCACGCCGCGAGGGCAGGCCGGGCAGAGCGTGTGCTCGGTCTGATTCAGAAAGCCTGGCTGCTGGCTGCCGCCCCCGGGGAGGAGGCGGAGGGAGGGGGGGCGCGCGGGGGGAGTGAGACACCGAGGATGTGTTGCTGGGGTGACAGGTGATGCTCCGGGCAGGAATCTGGCTGAGACATGAAAGCCTGGCATGACTGGGTCCAGACCCTGGGCCAGGTCCTCCCCCGGCCCGGCACAGGCCCAGTGCGTGCCAGCAAGCGTGTGTGACACAGGCCCCTCTGGCCGGCCGGATGGGCAGAGGGAGCTGTGGCTCATGTCTCTCTGGGGCTGACGAGGGCCCAGGGCCTGGGAGGAGCCGAGGCCGGAGACCTGGGCGCAGAACTGAGCTCCGTGTGACCTGACTCGGTCACCACGTACACCCTGAGCACCCGCTGTGTCCCGGACACCGTCCTCGGCACCGATCGCTCCAGGACAGGGGACGCACATCCTGACGCAGCTTCCGGACAGAACCCTGTGGTCCCGTCCCACTCCTGCCTCTCGCCGGCTTCTCTGACCTCAGAGCCTGCTGGACCGGCTTGTCCCTGCCACTCAGGCCCACCTTGGTCACCGGGTGGCATGTGGGTATGGCCCAATGTGAACAAGGGGGAGGAGGGACGGAGAGAAGAAGGGGGGAGAGAGGGAGAGGAGAAGGGGGGGGGGGCCGCGTTGGCAATGCAGGGGCGGGGAGGGGCAGCCTGCACTCCCAAGATTCCATGTGGCACATCTCCCATGAGTCCAAGGGGCACCCCGGAAGGAAGGCAGCCGGGCGGGGTCACTGGGTGGGTGCCCAGCCCTCCTCCTCCATCCACATTCCTTCCCAGCTTCCTTCCACACACACCCCACCAGGATCCTTGGATCCCCTCCCAGCATCCTCCCAGGCCTGTGGGGCCGCGATGGGGCGGTGGCCCGGACAGGAGACACCTCGGCCCCGCCGTCCGTCTGCAGAAGGCCCGGAGGCTCTGTATTGTTTGATCAGCCCAGCCACACCTCTCTGAGCTGTCACAGCCCCTCCTCACGGTCACATGCTCAGTGCTGAGTTCTTCCATTTTTTTTTCTTTTTTCCTTTTTTCTCCCTCTCCAAGCCCCCCTCCCTGCAACCACGCTGCTCTCGGCTCATTTCACAAGAGCCCGTCTCCGGTTACAGGGTCCCGAGGACACAGGGACATGTGTGTTTGGCTTATTTTGAGCAGCGTCTGGCCCCATGAAGCAGTGCACAGAAATAGCGCGGCGGCAGCGCCCGCACTGCGTGGGGAGGCGCCCCCCGCACGCCCCCTCGCTGGGGAGAGTGAGGAGAAGCCACAGCCGCGTCCCCTGTGAGACGGGGGACGGTGCGT